GGAATTGATTTAAACCGTGGTAGCAAAGTTTCAAAGAGGAATTTGAAGGCTTTTCTCTGAGGTCTTTCTGAGTGTACGGCAACATCCACAGTCTCAGAGGGATTGTCTGGGACTGTCTGAGCTTATGGTGGAGCAACATCAAAGTCAAGTACACTTTTGATCCATGCCAGCACTGACAGATTATGATCTTGCAGTTGTGGAAGGATGGCACTGGTGTCTCTGTGCTTTGTTGCTACTGATCCCACAAATAAAGTGGGAGAGGTCTGTGGAGCAGTGAATGACATATAGAAGTCTTTTGGGGCTGATGCAGCAGCCATCTTGCATTAATCTTCAGGGTTTCAGGTACTTCTGTGGCTTGTAGTAGGTTCTTAGGCTTTAACATTCAGAGTATTTCTGGCATTGTTCCAGTGTGACAAGCAGTTGAGTTTTATAATCCAGTTCATAAAACGACCAAGATGAGATACTGTGATTTTCCGGACTGGAACTTTGTTTCTGGTATTGTAATTGAGTCATTCGTGTCTTTGGGGACTTGCTTAATTTCTCTGTGCCTCAGTTTCTTAAGCAATGAAGTGGGGCATATAGAGCTGTCAACATCACTGAGCAGTGTCTAGAGCTCTGGACCTCTGCAAATGGAAAGCAATAGAAGGGAAATTGCACAAAATTGCCCTGTTGTGGTTATTGGGCTTTACAAGCCATGGGTTTATTTTATAAACCCATATTATAACCCAAGGAAGTGTTCCACACTTCAGATTTCACTAGGATTTTCGTATTCTTGTGAAACTGGAGCGCAGAACCAACCAACCCAAGCAAATGCTCCTCTCTCTCTGTACTGATCTCAGTACAGAATTTTCCTTCTGCAGTCAATCTGAGAGAACAGTGTACGATCTTTTGGCATACGCATTACCCTCACACACATACATACACACAGGTTAAGGGTGTGCAAGGTGTATGAGCAAAAGGCCTTTCCCTCACTTCGAAATCTCACATGCCCCTTTGCTTTGCTGCATCTTGCCATTTCTGCAGTGTTTTCTAAGCCTGACCTGCCGGGCTGCGAAGGGGTTTCCTGGGGCCTCAGTGGCTGTGAGCATGAGGGAGGTAGCAGGAGATGCTGGGGAACGTGGGCTCAATGTGAGGTGGGGAGGGAGGACAGAGTGTTCTTGCTCCTCTGGCTGGGTGAACACTGAGATCTGCCACCCAGGCAGTGTGCCAGGGTTCGTGCTATTGTCAAGCTTTCTGAATGCCGACTGATTTTCAGTACCTTTATTTGTTTGTTTGTTTGTTTGTTAGTTCATTTATTTATTTATTTATTATGACATCCCTGAGTGTGTGCCAGCTGGTAAAGAGCACATTACTGCTACCGCAGCCCGTAGCCACTTTGGGGATTAAAAACATAGTGTTTTTCAAACTTTTATTATTTTTTTTTTCTTGGCTGAAAAAAAACTTGCAAGTTTTCAGCTGGAGTTTTTCATTTTCTGTCAGAAGGGTAGGGAATTAATTTCTGACAAGCTTTGATTTGTTCCTTAAAGACTCTGAAGCTCCATTTCAAGCAGGAGGAAAGCAGAAGAGGGGGAGAGCTCCAGTCCTGCTCTCATTCCACAGCTCCCACGGGAGATTCCTAGGTCACCACCTCCTCCACACAGGCACCCATTACCTAAGCTGTAGGGCTTGATATATTTATTTGGCATATTTATATTAGCTGTTGGATATATTTGGGCCACCAACTATAAGGTCTAAGTTCAAAGGGGTATTGAGAGATGCAGACCAATCAACTTGACTGTTTGACCCAGCTCCAGACCTGGGCTGTATTCCCTGTTTATATGTGCTTATAGCACATTATTGGGTCACAAAGCTTTGTAAAGTGTTTGTAAGTTTTTATTATCAGTGCTGAAGAATGTCTTCAGTGCTTTAAAGGAGAGAGTAATACCTGTATCTGCTCTGTAAATACAGGATTTTGACCTGTATGGCACCTTTGACATGCTCTTAAACTTTCCTAACTTAACTTAAAAGGAAAAAGCACCTTAGTCACCTTGCAGTAGTCATACAGAGTGGTACCGGGTGGCTGCTGCCTGTGATGCCCTGCTGTCCTTGCAAGGAGGCTGAGAGGAGCCTGAATAAACGACAACAAAACAGATGAAAATATCCATTTCAGCTGGACAAGCCCACATTCATTAACTGACTAGTCTGCCCAGCTCATTTATGATTAATTGTGAGCACCATCCAAGTGGGAGAAGCACCTGTGATGGGGTGTCAGCCATCAGAGGTCTCCGTCTAGCAGAGTCCTGCCTGACACAAGCTGGGCAGGCCACCAGCACTGCTGTCAGGGTGAAAAGCCTTTGGATAGCAGCTCAGCTTCCCGTCAGGGCTTGCTGCATGAATGTGGTCACAAATAGGAAGGGAAACACGTGTTAAGTATCTTTTTCCTTTCTTGTCCTTTCCTCCTGGCAGTTAGTTTAGATTTTAGGATAAAAGTCACTGTCATGGTTTACTTATGATTTTTTTCAATGAAATCCTGTAAAGCTGAACCCAGGACAGCACTTCTCTGGTACCTCCATTGCAGTGCAGGGAGTTTGTAGGGTTGAAGGTCAGCTCTAGGACCAGCTCTAGGGCTCAGAGACCTCAGATGAGCCCTGCTCTGGAGGACTCAGCCTGGGTGAAGGATCCTCGCTGCATGGGACCATCCCAGTTGAGTTCCCAACTTCCAGCTATGGTCAGAAGCAGGCAGTCTGCAGGAACAAAATGAGACATTGCAACAGCTTATCTAAAACCCGTTATTTTCTGATGCAACCATTGCCAGTACACCCATAGATTTATACAGTCACTTTCTTGAATTAGATTAACATATGGTCTGGACCATAAAAGTAATTTGAGTTTGAAAATGATAAAGACTTTCTATTTTAAAGCTGACTATTACAAATTTTAAGTTCTCTGAAAATGTTTGCTGCTGAGACAAGTTCCATAAAGAATTTTTCATTTTGCCTTCCTTCTCTTATTGAACACTTTCTTTGATATTGAAGCTGTTGAAAGAGCAGTTTCCATATGAGATATGTAAACACACGCTCTGTGTAGGCAGGGTCTTCACATTTCACAGAAAACTATGACAGTCCTATTCTTGGGCTGAGATTTTTTCCACTGATGGGGACTGGAGTATTCTGAATCTCTGTTTAGCAAACAAAGCTAACCTGGAACCTAAAAATACACAGTGCCTTTGCAGAGAGCCTGTAGGCCTGTCAAGGTAACCTTTTTGTGATACACAAACCGAGCCAATACTGTCATGGTTGAGCACCTTGGATCTATCGCAGTTACAAAATCCAAACCAATGAAATGCAGGGCTTATTGGAAGATCCAACTATAGCAGTCATACATGTAGTCACTCTGTGACTCACGTGTTTTTCTGCTCCCTCTTCTGTCGTATCCACCTGCCATACCTGAGTGTGGGAGACAGTGACTGAATTCAGGATAAGCCAATGCAGAACTTAACTCTACATGGCTTTGTGGCATTGGTTGTGAGAACTGGACATGGGCAAACTCAAATCTTTGCTACTTTTTAAAGAGTATTGGCATTTGCAGTATGTATTTAAAGCTTTAAATGAAAAAATATGTATTTTTTTTTTTTAATTATAAATCTTCTGCCTTTCTCTTAAATTCAAGTTTTTGGTTGAGTTTCAAACTTGTGATGAAAATTTGAGAAAAAGTCTTCATTTTGGACCCTTTCAGACTTTAATTGACTCAAGGCATCATTGACTCAATTGACTCAAGGTATCATATCTCAAAGGTATCATTGTAAACAGTGTTTTGATTGAGAAAAAAATCCGATTAACATAAGCTACCCCTGAATGTTGCTGAATCACACTCCTCTGGGCAGCTCTTTTCTGTTCATCAGGACTGAAAAAATGCTATTCGCATTAGTATGGAATGCTGGAACTGATATGATACATTTTCTGAGACATTTGAAAAACTAGAAGTATCTCTGTCCCTTAGAAAACTTGCCTTACCTTGAGCAGTGACTAATATCCAGCCTGCGATTGATTTGCACACAAATCTAGCAATTTTGTCAGGTTTGTCTTCCTAGAAACTTAATTTAGAGATTTCCTATTAATACCAGATACTTCACCGTAGGCTTTTCTTCCTACTGTATTTGGCTCCCTGCCACCTTTCAGTTCACAGGCACCCATTCCAGCTGCCACTAGCCAGAGGAAGAAACCAACAGACATAAATAAATGTTTGCTGTCCTTGGCAAAACCTTTGCAGAAGGCCCCCACCCTGATTAGAGATGTATTTCCCAAGGAGTAAATGGATTTAGAAAAAAAAAAACCACAGTATAAATGCATCATCTTCACATCCTCTGTGAATGTTTGGTCACAGCTTCTTAAATCGTTGATGGAATTTTACATCTTAGAAAAGGTTAAATACATTGTTGAGCACAACTGAGATCCTGCCTTACCAATCAGTGGCAAAGCTGTCAGCTCAATCCGGGTTGTAGGGTATTTATTCTTAGGGATGATGCACAAATCAGAAATAAGGCAACTTGGTTTCAGTCCCAGGGAAAATATAAGCAAATGTGCTGTGGAAGAGCTTCCCACTCTGTTATCACAGAAGTCCCTGAAGCGATTCAGTCCATGGAGAAGGTTGGTGGTAACAGCATGGAGTGCTTCCTGGGGGCACATGGGCTGTAATGGGAACCAGAAGATGCTATTTCTAATACACTTTTGGAGCGTGGAGGAGAGAGAGAGACAAATATTTCAATCTATTTTCTAATGTTGCCTATCTGAAAGTTTCCAAAATCAGCCACATGAAGAGCTTAAAACTCTGCACAGCCCTCAGCACAAGAAGGATCTTACAGACTTTAGGGACCACCCAGTTTCTTAAATTCCTGCTTGAATTACAGTGTTACAGTCAATGCATGCAGAATGTAGAAAAATCCTGTGGAAAGAAAACTCCTCTTATTCTGTAAGAAATGTTTGTGGTGTTCAAGACAATGGATGAGTGTTTGTATTGAACAGATCTCCCTTGTTTGGAACAGAAGAAACAGCTCAGCCGCAGAGCCTGCTGCCTCCTGGGCCCTCCTCCACCACCCTTGATCCCACCACCGTACTTCGGGCAAGGCTGGAGCACTGTAAGTGTGGCCCATGAGCCTTTCTTTTCTTTTTACATAACTTTTTGTGTTTGACAAAGGCTGAAGTATCCTCTCAAGCACTGCTTCATGGTGTCTCTTGGCAGGCCTGTCTGGCTGTGTTGATATGGCTCTGTTAGGACAATCATTCAACATCCCAGACTGGGGCTTGAATGTCAATTGTGGGGGTAAATGTCAAATACACCAAGGAATGAAACAGGGCTGGGTTTGTTCAAGCAGCTAGTTCAAGTAACTTAAAATATTCTCCTTACTCTGTTTTGTCCTAAGACAAAGACAATCCTGAACTAAAGGAAATGGAAATGCAATAAACCAAGAAAGAAGCGAAGGCCATTTCCCATCCTACACAACAATTTCAGAGTGTACATTATACGTGTGTCCTGTTTTGCATGGCATTTCCCTTACCCAGTGGATGAAATGAAGGTCCCCAAATCCTTCTATGGAATCTATTTCTATAATTTCATTTTGCAGCAAGAAAGACATGCTTGGTTTGCTGCTGTGGAGTTTTCACTCGCCCACCCCGGCATGTATCTGCCGTATATGATATGTGTCCATACACATATGTTAACATATGAAACATACAGGATACAATGACATAGCACTTATTGCCCGGGTCTGTTAACCCCAATATATTTTCCATTCCAACATACATAATTTTTCTATCTACTGAGTAATTCCTATTTCTTAGTTCTACTATTGCAAATACTATATGCAAATTCCACTGTATGCAGATACTGTGATTCTTGCTACTGTTATGTAAATAATGATTAGAAAGTTCTCTGACAAGAACTAACCTAAGAAAAAATACAGTGTAAAACACTCTATTGTCTTCAGAGAGATCAGAATTAAGCTCAAGGTGCTATTCTCCCCAAAGCAAAACGTAGTTGCCTCCCCTTTCCTCATCCCCTCCCCTCCCTGTGCTGTGGTTTCCAAAGAAAGGAGACCAAGAGACAAGACCTCCTTAGGAATGTGGTGTACTCCTTCAGTCAGGAGGAGGTTGGGACCAGAGCCCCTGAGATTCTTCCAAGCAGCTTAGAGAGTAATCTGAGTACAAAATCACCCTTTACACCATCTCCCCCATAAAAACATGAAATAGAACTAAGTAGCTACCAGGAGGATGGGACCCGTGTGAAATCATTTCAATCAGTTTGTGCTTTGGAGTCTCTAGTTGGATTTTTTCTGGAAAATGGCTTTTCACTTGGAAGCTGAAGATTAGTTCTGTCAACCCAGTGCCTCTGGCTCAGCATTTGTCTGTATTTCCAGAGGAGATGGCTTTTGTCACAGGACATAAATAAGCCAGCTTACTCATGCAGGCCTAATTTTGAAGTCAAAAGATTAGATGTTCATTGATCATTAAAGGTCTGCAGTGAATGAATGCCTATGGGTTAGTATCTTCTGGAATGAAGTTCACGCTGCCTATACCCTCGCTGAGTGTAGTCTCTATTATTAGAGCAAAGACACTATTTTTGGAGAGGAGCTGCTACTTGTAAAGTGGGATGGAGAGAGCAGGGTCAAGTCTAAGAATAAGCCAGGGTCCCACGTTGCCTTGGAGGGGCGTGCGACAACCTGGCTGCGACGTGTCTCTGCGAGAGGACGAGGAGGAGGAGACGTGTGGCAGGACACTCTGCTGATGTGCTAATGTTCAGGCATCCGTGAAGATAACCTCGTGACAAACCCTAGGCTTCTCCCCAAGGGAGCAAATAAACACTATGGAGGCTGTAGCGCTCAGTGGGTGTTTATTTATGCGTTTCTCTGACACGCTACATATGGCTGTGTGTTCACTCTTGTGTTTTATGTTACATAGAAGCTGCTTGCTCTGGACATGAAAGAGTTGTGTCTGGAGCTCCAGATAATGCAGGCTTCCTCTCTGCCCGAATCGTATTGCCCCACAGGGCCTCCTGGCCCCCAGGTGAGTGATTAAACGACGTTGTTATCTCACGTGCTTCAAGGTCCTTACAAAGCTGTGAAATATCTTCTGCAAATGTTTTTTTATGGCTTAATAAGCATACCAGGTTCTGTCTTAATTTCATTTTGATATGACTATGTATAAATCATGTTGGCTTTTTACCCTATGTTCTCATCCCTGCCTGACATAACTCCAGCCAGTTTCAAGTTCACCCTTCATTTTTGTGGACTTTACAGTGGGTAGCACCCATCAAAAATGCCGGAGGTGGAATCACTTCCTTCAGAGGCTCTTCACTAGTTTTTTCTTTGCTTAGGAATCTGTTGTCCTTTATGTGAGGGAAAGAGCCTGTGGAGTGGATGCACAAGAGGTGCAATGAACTTGAATGTTAGTGGAGTGCATCCCTGGGAAGGCAAACACCTACAGTAAACATCAGAGAAAAGGAGGGGCTTCAGGAGGGCAGGGAGATGGGATTCAGGAGATGTGGGATCTCCTAGTTCATCCTGCAATATCTCTGCCTCTGACTTGCTGGGTAGCCTTGGGCCAGTCCTTTCGACCTTCCATTCCATTTTCTACAATTTGTACATTCAGAAACCTTCTCTAGGGTTCACAATTTGTGAACACCTCTGCAGTGTTGGAGAAGATCTCCCATCTACCTCTCCGTTCCAGCTCACTTGCTCCAAAGGAAAGTACATCTTTTTAGAGAGGTAGTTCCAGTTTCTCCTGGGGCACAGGCAGTCCCTATCTATGCGCTGTGTCTGGTACTTCGGGACCGTGATCTTCCTCGAGGTCCCCCGGTGACGATTTTATTACAGTACAGCTAATAGCAGGCACGGCACGGGACCTTTGCTGCAGCAAAGCTGTGACTGAGGGTTTGGCAACCCGTGTAGTTAACGAGCACCCAAATGCTGCTCATAAAGTAACGACAGTGCATCACAAATAAAGGTTTGGTTACATGGCAAAGAGCTTAGCTTTGATTATTTAGAAGTCAGTACTTCAGAAGGTATTTGTAAATAGCATAGAAGATGCAATGAGAAAGCCACAAAGTCTTGATTTATGAACCTTCACTTTTCCATTCTGCCATTTTGTCTTTGCTGAGATTCAGGGGGAGGGATAGTCATTTAACATGTGAATGATGAGGTGTGGAGAGAAGCGAACGTGAACCGTTTGTCCTGTCCTGTATGGAATAAAGTCCTGTCTGCGTTATGAAACAGCCCTGCAGTGTGGTTGGCCACGATCCAGAGTTGCAATACATATGAAAAAAGCAGTTGTTATTTCAGTCTTTGCTAGACTGTCTTTTTTATAAAAATTCTCTTAATACTCTCTCTGACATAAATTGGAAGAACAGTAATATTAATTATATTGTTCTGCAAGGTCCATTGCTATAAATAATATTAATCTTGCAACCAGATGATCTGTGATCCCTCCAAGAATATTTTTAAATAGAGTAGGCTGGCAGATTTTATCACAATGGCAGACAGTAGGGTAGGTATAACACGCCTTTGGAATTTTTAATTATAAATTGCAGGACTGTGTCTTATAATGGGACAATGTTAGAGCCAGCAATCCTCTAGCCAATATTTTTATACCGTTACAAAAAAAAAAAAAAATCAAAGAAGTTTTTCTGAATTCCTTTCCGCTGTAGCTTGCCTGGCTTTCAAAGGAGTTGTAAAAGCTCATGTTGCTGACTCAGACCTGAATTTTAACACTTTTTCATAAGAAGGAGAATTAGAATTGTAATGATGTAACTCAGTATAATTCCTCCCATGTGTAAGCTGAAGTAAAACGAAAGAAATAAGCTAAAATTTGGCTCTGACTCCAATAGGGTGCACTGTGATTCACATCATTTAAAATCTAAGTAACTCTAAAGACTAAAATAGTTGGAATAACTGCATTTGCATTTGAGGATACACTTTGCTCCCATTTGTGTACAATTTGCATCATGTTTCAACAGTATCAGAGAGCCAGCATCCAAACCTGGAGTGAGTGATTTATACGGTGAATCTAATGCTCCTCTGACGCAGGCTCATCGGATTGTTTTTCATTAGTTATTAAAAAATAAAAGGTGGTCCATGAACTGAAGCATTCTAGAAATGAAACTGGTTTTCAAATTCTTTTTCTGAGGTGGGGCTCAAGGTTTACCAGGATTAAGAAGTCCTCTGAAAGGAGAATCAGCTTCATTTGAAAGACAGAAATATCTTCAGGACTCAGAAGTGGTGGCAATCCTCCATGTCCATCCCACATGTTTTATGCCACTTCCCTTACTGCCCCTTTGGCTGACCTCCTTTGCCAGCTGACGCGGTGTCTCCGTGTCCTCATTGTCGCTAATTCTTCAGGACTCTAATAACTTCTCATCTTTCATTTGCCTCCGACCTTTTTTTCTTGCTGGTTTTCTTCATCTAGAGGATGTCCCTGCACTTCTCATGTCAGTTCAAGTCTCCAGCCTGCTGTTCAGTGGTGGCACAAACCTGGCATTTAGAGGCCACGTTCAAACATCACATCCAACACCTCAACCTCATGGGTTCATACTGTTCCCAGGAGACACCTCCAGGGCTATGGATTGAGCAAAGGCAACCACCAGTGCCTTCTTACTAATGCATTCACTTTTCTCCCTAGGGTCCACAAGGAATTCCTGGTATAATGGGACCAAAAGGGGAGAAAGTAAGTGTCTGTGTTATGGAGTTTAATGTGGTTTGGGGGGGCAAGGAAAGAGATGGGGGTCTTGTGTTCTCTTTTTTCCCTTGTCTGTTTAATCACTGGTGGGCCTTTTGCATGCGGGGATTTTTGAATGGAAAGCTGTGAATTAATATAATTTAAGTCTTCATCTTTCAGTGTTCATTTTCAATCTTGAAATATTTTTGATGGCTTCTCATGATAGCTACCTGTGTCTACAGTATGCATTAAGAAAGCAGCTCAGGTGCACAAGCCAGTGATCCAACAGCTTTTTACCACCTTGTGCCTCTGGGAGGACATGAGAAGTGGAGCTCTAATATGCAGTGTTTATTTTATGGGTTAGCTCAGATATTAAGAGTGGTCTATATGTTAAGTTATGGCTTCAGATCTGCAAAGAATTTTCTCCATGATGCTTAAAGAGCCTTATATCTGAAGCTGGCCTCATAGTTGCATACTTTACTATACAAGGGGTTGACTATAGATTTGGGGCTGAAAACACAGGAAAGACCAAGGAGCTCTGTTAAATAATTTTCTCATTTTACCTCTGGAAGCAAAGTCTTGAACACAAAGGTATTTCCAATGTATGTGGTGCCAATGAGACTAACGTATTCCTTTCTCTGGCAGGGGGAGATTGGCAGGCCAGGAAGAAAGGTATGAACAAAGGTCCTGTCTTAGACACTGGTATAATGCTTGACACATAACAGCTGTCAGAGAGGGGTGCAGACAAGAGTTAAATAAAATTAGCTAATGTTGAAGTTTAGCCTGTTTGTGCTGCTTCCCCTGATACTGAGGTAGGGAGCTGTGGGTGCAAGGCTGGAGAGCTGGGCTCTCTGGCTTGGAGAGCTGTCCCAGCTGGTTTGAATTCAACAGATTCCCTCAGTAAGTGCATGTGGCTCTGGCCAGACAATTAAAACAGAGCGGAAAATTGCCTGAACTCTGTCTCTGTGGGCAGATGCTGCAGAGTGTAGGAGGTGTCATAAAAGGTGTATTAAAAAAACCCAAAGCAAAATCAAACTTTTCACTGCTCCAAAGTCAAAACAAGGCTCAGCTGAATAGCCCAGAAGAAGGAATAATTAATAATTATACTCACAGAGTTTTGGCACCAGTGCAATATGCTGACTACAATCCTATGCTTGGTGACATATGAGCCATGATATATTGTCAAAAATATGTGCCCCTACATGTGATGAAACAGAATATGTTATCTCAGTCATTAAGTGCCTCCATTTAATGTAATTACATTTAAAAGAAGACAGAAATGCGGGATGAAATCAGAGATATGCAGGGAGTTGTCACTAACTAGGAAAAGAAATACCCTTCTAATAATATACCAAGCATTTTAACACCCTTCTAATAATATACAAAAGATTTTGACACCAGCTAGCAATTAGTAATTCAAATAAATACAAAACACATAAGCAAAAGATGTCTTTTTCTTTAATCTAAACTGCAAATGCCCTACAGTAAAAAAAAAAAATTTCTTAAATAAATTCAAGTGTTCAAAACAGTAATGTCTCAGAGAGAGTGAACCACCACCCTAAAAGAAAGTGCAAACCTTAAACACAGTACATCAATACCTACCCTTCTGACACAAACTAGTGTGTCCCAAAAGAGAAGTTGCTCAGGTTGGAAATAAAACAGTGTAACTCCTGCTAAAAGCTGTCTGGCTTGTGGGAGGTCACTCTTAGTCCCAAATATCATGATGGCATTTATAAGATTATTTTGTCAAGCAGCGTAAAGCAGTGGGATGGCAGTAACCTACAGCATTTTAGGAGATACTCAAAGAGTGATTTACAGGCAGTAATTAAAATAGATAAATAACTGTATGTATGTAATTATTGCTAGTCAGATGGTAGCTAATAAATAGGAATTATAGCTAGTAATATGGAATGTTCAGAATAAGAATAATAGTAAATAAAAATAGGAATATCTTCATTAAAGATTTGGTTCTGTTCTTAATATAAATTGGATTCATACTCATATAATTAGATGCAAGTCTTTTTTATTTACATTGTCTTCTTAAATGAAAAGAGGAATTAAGTTATTGATACTGGGTTTTTAGGATGATTATTTTGACTGCATGTAGGTTTATTCTGCAGCTACTACTTATTTGGATCAGTATAACCTGTTATTTCTGCAAGCCCACACCTCTTCCAGCAGCAGCAACATAAACTGTGTGATATAATACTTTTTTGTATTAAAAGGAAGGTAAAGAAGCATTTGCAGGTCTTTTCCCGAAAAAAGCTATATTCCTCCATAAATCCTGTCTGCAGTGGAGGCCTGTGTGTAGGAATGGTGTTAAATGAATCATTGTAATCGATGTTTTCCGTTCAAGGGTAGACCAGGTCCCCCGGGTGTCCCTGGGATGCCAGGACCAGTAGGATGGCCTGGACCTGTGGGACAGAAGGTAAGACTGAAATTCACATGGGATAACCTGTTAAACCTCATGACCTGAACACAACAGTTATCTCGGGAAGACTCTAAGCCACTATCTGCTGGAGGCTGGGAAGTTGCAGCAGTGCAAGGACGCTCTGTGCTTGTACCATTTGACCTGCCCAGTCTAGGGTTGGGTTACTCCCCCTTCAGCCTAGCCCCTGTAGCACTTCTTACATTGATTAAAATATGTCAAAAGGAAATTGAAAATCAGTCTAATGAAGACTCATTGATAATCACTGGTGTCTCACCATCACATGAATCAGAGTTTCAAAACGCATCATCATCTTCGTGTCTGCTCTTTATGATGAACTCTTCGCCTGAGTTTGTACTTTTTGGCAGCGTAACTGGATGTCCATGTGATCATGGGGAAAATACCAGGCTGGTATCAGGGGAAAGAGATTACAAACCATGTGAATTGCTGATCAGGTCTTTGAAGTTCATTTGTGTACAAACAAACATTTGTTCCTATGATTTTTAATAACCAACAGCAGAAGAAATGGCAGGACACACTTTGCTACTGCAGAGTGGCTGGTTCATCTGCATTTATTATAAAAAAGCTGCAGGACAGTCCTTTGCTGAGTATTACCTGATGCAAAAGGCATACAGCCCTTCACAGGAGCCACAGTATATAAAGTTTCTACTGGGACTTTTGAGATAAATTTTCTTCAATCCAGTATGCATCAGGCAAAAGGTCTGCACACAATGTTTAGCTCAAAGCTGTATTGCCCCCAGCTCAGAGGACATGATGAGTAGCTCTTGCTACAGCAAGAATAATAGTAGATGACTTCTGAATTTAAGCCGGACCCTCAAGCTCGTCAGAGCTATGCTAGATGAGGAACATGATATAATAATGTGTGGGAATGTAGGCGAGCAAAAAGAGGCCGATGGAGGAGCCAATGTTCACTTTGAACTATGAGATGAGAAATTGTGTCCACTCAAATGCATTGTGGGAGCAGTGAGGACAGAAGGAGGGTCCAACTACCTTGTTCCCTCAGTCTGCATACAGACAACAGAGCAGTCAGAAAACTCGTTCACTTGGCCTTTTCCTTATATAAGCTCTAGTCTTATTTATGATGTCTTCCTAATTTTGATTTTATCTCCCCTTTGTCTATTGTTATGCTTTTTCATCACACTCCTAGAAGCATCTCTCACATTGGGTAGTAGGACAGCAAATCCTACTTGCTGTTTCATTCCAATTCCTCTGCTTTTATTGTCTCCTCTGACACATCTCCTCTATTCTTTAGAAGGGTTCCCACCTTCATTTCTTCTGGTCTTTTTAAATGTCTGTTTCCTGACTGTCAATGAAGGCTCCAGTTGAATAGAGGCTAGCACATCTCTGTACTCACTTCCATTGGTTGTGTCTCTCTTTCATTTCTCTTTTTCTGATCTCTGATCTTCCCAAACTCCTGCTATTCATCTTCACTATAGTCATGCGCTGCATCATCTTTCTGTAAATTTCCAGCAAGCTGTTGGTTTTTTTCATTATTCCTATCTTTGTGCCTCTGTTTCTTCAACTGCATCTCATTACCTGTCTTCTCTTTCTTAGACATGGCCTTGGTCCAATCCTTTTTATTCCTCCTTTGTTTCTTCAAGCCTTTTCTGAACTTCTGTGGCAGCAGCAGCCAATGTGAAAATCCTCTCCACTACTAGCACAGTGAAAGCCAAAGGAGAACAAGAGCCAACTGTATTTGCTGGTAGGGCTGTTGCAGGTCTGCAGAGACTACTCCGTATTTCATCCTAGATATAATTATCTGACAGCAGCCAGAGAAGTTGTAAAGCCTTTTCATGATTAACTGGCTCCAAACAGCCGTAAAGCACATGATGTCTCAGAACTACAATAAAAGTAGTCACTGTGCCTTTCCAAGCCATAAAGGCTTGCAGCAAAATACCTTTCTTTTCTGCAACTCAGTGGAAGTGAGGCTGGATAGAGACAATTCACCTTCATGCAACAAAAGGATGCACTGCTGCTGCTAATTTGCTTACGTGTCCTTTAATAGCATCTGGCAAAACTGAAGCACAAATCACACACCCAAGAAAATGCAAATAGAAGAATAAGAAAACATATGAGGACTCAGGCAGAATAAAATTGCAATATAGACTTCTGACTACAATGCTACACCAAGGTCAGGCTTGTCTCAAGTGCATTCAAATGTGACCTCATCAGAGAGCCACAATCAATAACTCTCTTTATTGACCCCTTTAGGGTGAAAAGGGAGAGTTGGGTGTGATGGGATTGCCAGGTACAAGAGGACCAATGGGCTCCAAGGTTTGTTAACCAAACGGTGCATTTTCAGACATTGGTTTCTAATGCTCTGCTGACGGCTGCTTCCCTCATGAATTTGCTGGAAGGCATTTATCAAGATATATCTTTTCTAATACAGCTAAAAAGATATGTTCTCCTTCAAGCAAGGTTACTTTGTCTGGTTGGGCTTTGCTGTGTTTTTGGCTTTTCATAAAAATGCTTTGGTGTAAATTACTGTAATGCAAAAACTTATTTTAAAAACAAAACATATATAATTGTATCCCACTAGAAAACTAGAGTTCTTAAGTGTATCTGCGGCATTAACTTGTGTCTGCAATGTTTTTCACCCACATCATAAGACTATGGAGATTTTTGTCTTCTACTAAAACTCTGCATATGTATTTCTCAGGTTGCCCAGAGATGTGGTATTTGCCCCATCCCTGGAAACATTCAAGGTCAGGTTGGACAGGGCTACGAGCAACCTGATCTAGTTGAAGTTGTCCCTGCTCACTGCAGGGGGTTTAGATTAGATGACCTTTAGAGGTCCCTTCCAACCCAAACTGTTTTATGACTCTATGGTTTATTGACAGATGGATAGTAAGCACAATTTGGACTGCATGTTCTAGTATCTGTACATCATTGCCTACAGCATAGCCTCTGCCTTCAAAAATTTAGGCCACAATATTTTAAGGTACTTGAACAAAATTCTGTATAAAAGTCTAGAAAGAAGAACTGAACACTGTTGATTATTATGTTTCTTAAAGAGAAACTCAGTTTTATAGTAATCTTCATATTAGAAGATAACTTAAGTATAATTTAAGGATGTTTCACAGGGGAAAAAACAAAGAAGAGGAAGATTATTAGTAAAATTATTTTAGATTATTAATTGTGGCATCTAAGGCTTCATTCACTTTCAGTTACATTTTATTTCCCTTGTTTCAATTTTAAAAGCAACATCAAACCTGCTGGCTTTACCTGGCTTTTTCACATTGGCTTTTGGGCTGAGTTGTCTTGCCTTTAATTCATATTTCACAGTTCTGTTTCAATGCAATTTTAGAAGCTATAAATATACATTTGCATTTACAAGTTGATGCAATTAATCTTTTGTGCTTCATTCTTTTTCTTCACTTTAAAGTTTGAAAGTGCTGCTTCTTGGGTAATTTTGAAAGTGAGAACTATTAAAATATCTATCATTCCCTTTAGGGTTTTCCTGGAACTAGAGGAGAAAAGGTCAGTGTAACAATAGAAAAATGTATAATTTAGCTATTGAAAGTTATGTAAAAAAAAGTAACTTGAATTTTGATGGAGCAAAATCTAAAGGTCCCACTGAGAAATTAAAACTAGCATCAAGAAGGAGTACAGTCTTGTGGCTTAGGCTGGGATGCTAAAGAAGTGAGATTGGCACCCCATCTTCTTATGAACAAGTTACTACAGTGCACCTCACTACAGTTTCCCCATCTGTAGAATGGTATAATAATCCTTAATTGTTGGTCTGGTTTGTTTAGACTGTACATACTTTGGAACAGAGACAGTTTTTTACTGTAAGCCCATACTAGTGGGACCTGAACTTGGATGAAGTCAACTGGGGAAAAAAAATCAAGTTTGGAAGTATTGCATCCAGGATACAATGTGTTTAAAGTAATTAGCTAGAGAGAACAAGTTCCTTTTTCTACAAGCCTTACTCTTAATCCTGATATAATATCAATGAATGTAATAAGAAAACATTTTAGGGTATCTACCATACACCTCATTCTGGACATATGACTATTTGCTGTGTGACTTCAAGTAACACTTAATGTAGGGAAAATACTTTTTGCTTCCTTGTGAAATGGTAATGATTAAGCTGTTGTCACCCTGTTATCTCTCTCCAGGGATCCAGAGGTGACAGAGGTGACAAAGGAGTCAAAGGAGACCAGGTAATTTTCTTTTCCAAATGGTTGTGAGTTTTAGCTGAACAAGCCCATGAGGTCTAACATAATTGAGGGCAAAAACCAGGAGCGGTACGGAGGAAGGGAGTCTGGAGGCATCTTCCTGAGAGGGCAAGAATGGTGAGGGTGGGCAGTGGTCCTATCTGATGGGAGGGCAGTGGGGCAGCCTCCATGTCCATGGTGCCCCCCAGCCCGTCGGGGGAGTGATGCGGCAGAGTGGGATTTCCTGGGAGGTAACCTCAGTCTCTCCTGGCCTGTGCAGTCCAGAACCACAACAGCTTCCCAAAACGCTTTTGGCTGGTGATATGACAGTGCTGTGAGGAAAAAAAAAAACGAAACAAAACCCAACCAAAAAAACAGGTGAGATTCTTGACTTGGGGGTGCCTTTAACTAAGAAAGGAAAAGGAAAATGCTTTTGATGTAAAAGGAGAAATGCCATTCCCAAATGCAGGCTTTGGGCATTGTCCAGGTAGCAGGGTTGCCTGTAGATAAAGCACAACCAGGATGTTTTTGCCAGAGGAGAGGAAGCAGACAACAGAGGATCTGTACAAGTGGCTTTACCGTAAAAATTTGTTTTTAATTCTGCACCTACTGTACCACCTGCAGTGCTGAATCACAGAGCGGGTATTTTAACACATATCAGTGCAGTACATGGCACTTGACGTTCTTCTTTCCAAGGAAGGTGCTGCTTTGTCAAAGATCACTCCACACTTTTTGACACTTTTTCTCCTTTTACTTTGTAGGGAGAAATAGGCTTTCCTGGAATGCTGGGACAAAAGGTAAGTCGGCATGATGTACTGGGGAGTTGTGTTAAGTGCTGGCATAAAGCCAGTGAATTGCTTCAGAGATATCCTGGAAAATATAAGGAATTGAAGGTCTTTCTTGACTCAATGGCCATCTTTTCTTGGACTTGATGAAATTCTTTAGGCTTTTCATCTTAGGAGAAAACTCTGAGATGTAGTTGTTTGTTCCTGTTTCTCTTTTTTCCCCCGAACGTTGTTTTAGTCAGAATCTTCCTCCTGTTTAACATGTCCAAGCTCTTGATTATGGATTCATAACTGGCCTAATTGCTTGGGTGTTATTCATTTGAAGATAATAAATATTTACTTCTTGATACTCTGAATCAAAATGGCACTACTAGAAATAGCAGTAGTACTTCTGATCAGTTTTGGTATCATCATTATTCTCTACTTAAACAACAATCACTATTCAGATATTGTTTTATGGATAGAAATCCTACATGAGGATAATTTTATGACATAATCACATCTCATCTCTGAAATTTGGATAAAGAAATAATGGTTGCTTCTAAGGAGGCTAGAAGATGAGTCAATTCACCTTCCTTTCCCTGAGTGACTTTATTTCATGTGCATCTTAAGAGCAAAACAAGATATTGCCAAAAGGGACAGAGAAGGGCTGTCAGCCCTTGCTAGCCTTGACCTCCCCAAGTCTCTGAGCACGTTTCAGATCTCTCCCTTTGGCTTCCTCTTTAGAAAAGGATTTTTCAGGGAAATTTGGGTAAATTGTGAGAGAGATTTGTCACTTCATCCTTCTTTTAAAATATTTTATTATAATTTTTATGTTCTGAGAAACAAAGAGTGCCAGCACTATCTAGAGGAATCACATTAATTAGGGCACCATTGACCTGCTGTCTTGTATAAGGCAGGTATAACCATGGTAATGTGCATTTCTGTTCTTAATGTCCTGCTTCCTTCCCTCCACACCCGCCACCAAGGGAGAGATGGGCCCGAAGGGACAATCTGGAGTACCGGGACACAGAGGACCTATAGGAAGACCTGGAAAACGAGGCAAACAAGTAGGACCATGGTTTTTCCCCTTCCCTTGATTCCTGGTGTCTATGTGGTTGTGGTGTACGATTGGATTGTGAGACTTGTGCTCTGATGGTACCAAGTGCTTTGTCACAGTGAGACTGGGCAGAAGCCCTGGAACACCTCACATGCATGCACAAGCGACGCAGGAGTTAAAGCCCCAGCTTTAGGGCTGGACCCTTATCAGTAGCATTCAGCTCCCTGGCCACACAGCCTGGGGAAAGTTGTATTTTCCCTGGCTTGGTAATGAACTCATTGAATATAACTTGAGCAGACCTCGAATGCCCCCTTTGAACACTAAGCAACACAGAGATACAGTCTGAAGTCCACCTGATGGATGGGTAGAGAGTTGGAGTAAGGTCCAGGTGTCAGAGAGCGTGGGGTGCAATACCATGGGGTCCTATGCTTTGTAGATCCCTCACCCTGAGGCTGATTTAGGGAGCAGAGCTGCTTGATTTACAGGCAGCTTGCTAGGCTGCAACGGCAAATGGGATATATCCAAAATTCAACACATTTCAGCCTGCCCAGGTGGCATTCTCTGCCCCTAGAGAAAACAGGTTCTTGAGATGAGTGAAGGAAGGAAAACCCTGAGTTTCTGGGTCTCTGAATGAGGGAAGGATTGCTGTGGATGCTACAATAAACCAGTGCCCTCTCCTCAACTCCAGGCAGAGATCAGCATCTCGCAAGGGACATCCCATTCCCTGTCCATGAATTTTCTCCCTGGCTCACCAGTGCAAAGAGCTACACTATTTCTGCCAGCAAAAACATTGCTTGTGTGCACTGGCAGTAGCTGCCTGTACACTAAGAATGGTATGCTGTAATGGACTGAACTGGTGTGTGCTCTGTGGCAATGGAAACCACCTGTCTGTACATCCAAACCCCAGTCCTGTTTACACTGTCATACACTCCTGGTTTCTAGCACCGCACTACGTGTGTATCCAGTGTCTGTTCGGGCCCACTTGGAGGATCCTTCCTGTCCACACCATCCAATTTGGTTGAGTCAGGTTTTGCCCAAGCCCAAGCACTGGTCAAGACAGATCTGCTTTGCAAGAAGCCTTGGAGATATCCCACACACAGCTCAAAGAACCGAAGCACCAAAACACCCTCTCTGTTTTTCCCATTTCCTCTGTTAACGCTAAAACCAAGATTGATTTTTTTGGATTGGATATTTATATGACGGTTCTCCCTGCATGCCAGGGACAGATTCTTCTGCTCTGAGAAAGGTCAGGAAAGACACATAGTGACCTTAGGGGATGGTAATCTCATATGAGAAGCTGTTCAGGACTGAGATGGTTGACAAATGGTCCTTATTTAGAGCTTAAAATTATTAAGCTGGCAGAACTATTTTTTCAGATGAAGTGTAAAGACCAGGAATTGTGTGTAAATTTGATACTGACTCCTCCATTATAGCATTTTCCAAGGAGAAGGTAGCAATATCGGTATAGTTACGTGTTCAAATCACCAAATAAGCCTCTCTGAATGCACCTTTCCTTGTGTATTTATATTAAGCAATGGTATTGGGGGTGCAAAGGGGACTGGCTCCTGGTGCTCCGAATTGCCACCTGCAGAGCCTGTTTCTTTCCACTGACTGACAGGGAAGGGAGCCTGTTCTTGCTAGACTGACTTTGGTGTTAATGGCCATCTGCTCAGATACAGGAGCTTGTAGATGGTTAATGGGCTCAGCTGAAAGCATTTTATTTGCAGTCTGGTTATGCCCAGTGTTGCAAACAGAGACACATGCCTGCTTCACTGTTGGTCTGATGCCATCAGCTAATATCTGAAGTGAAGGAATAGCCAGCATGGGGAAAAATTAAAAGTTGGGTGTTAGGGAGGGAAGTAGCAGGTCACCAAGTAAGGAAGGTATGAGCAATGTAAGTCTGCTAGGTGACCCAGAAGAAATATAATTTTTTTTGTCTTTGATTTGACAGGTTTTAAAAGCTGATGTGTGCTCTTTGCTGGTTTGTGGTTTGGTGGGGTTTTTTTATTTGAAAACTACACTCATCTATCCTGCCAAAAGTAATGTCCCTGGAGTATCTTTCTGTAGCGTAAGGCAAAGAGGACATAGCGCCTGCAGATCAACCTGAACACTGTGCACTTCCTGCTTGACCTTAGACATTTTGTTTGATCACGCAGTGTCTTAATCAAAAAGTGGTGACATAAGGTGTGTCATAATTTAAGGCAACAATCAGTGTGACTGGAGTTATAGCCTGGCCCTAAATTAGGATTTCCAGGCCCAGGACTTAGTACATAACCCCTTCCAGGTGCCACGAAAGCAGTTGCAGCATTGATCTTCTGCAGGAAAATTGTGGTTCCTTCTGTAATTGGTGAACTAGCTATTTTCTTTCTTCTTTTCTAATCCTTTGAAAAAACTTGAGACTGGCATTTTAAGGTTCTGTGGGTCTGGCTGCTGCCTTTAAGTGCTGTAGTTATCTTCTGGCTGTTTGTTCAGCTGAGAGGATAGTTTCCATCAACATGGGGCCATTTCCTGTCCCTTGATCCAGCTATCCCTAGATAAAAGCAGCTAAATTAGGAAGGTGTTACTTCCACTTCCATTTTGAGCTATGTCTTGATTATCTCACTGACTTCTTCAGCTCTCTTCTGCCTCTGCTCTTCCTAAAAGGTGTCCAGGAGGAGAAGTCACAAGTCATGGTCCCACTGTCCTCAAACTGAGGAGGTATTACACCCAAAGTTTTGTAGCTTGGGAATCGACCCTAAGGAGCAAGTTTAGGGTTTCAACCTTAATAAGGAGGAATGACTCGGAGCTTTAGATAATGTTAGTGTGAAAGAAGGGAGAGGAATGTAAATATTGTCCATGGGAAAAGCTTTTCTGAATGCAATGGGTGCTTATGAAAAGAAACAAGGCAAGAATATTTAATACACATCTTTGCCCTTGCTATTTAATCTCTCTATACTAAACAAGAAAGTATTAAGCAATCAGTCTTCCAAAGCAGGAAACTCAGCAGACAGCTCATTTTCAGGGAGTACATGTCTGACTGGTGCTGGCTTGCCTCTACCAGATTGCTGTTGTCTGGGGGAAAGAGACTTCCCACAGAATTCTTTGAGGCTACAAAATCCTGGTCTGCTGGTTCTGTGTCACATAACATAAGAAGTAACTAGGGTTCATCATTGCTGACAGTCACATAAATCCTGGAATATTTTGATGGTACAGAGCTTACCTAATAGGATTAAACAAAGCAAATATTCAATTAGTTCTTTATGGGCCATGGCAAAATCAACCCTCTTCTGTTGAAATCGTACAAGTGACATGGAAATGTATCCATGGGATACAATATATCATATCACAAATTATTTTAGGATATATTACTATATATGCTTCATTACTTTGAAATTAGACATACAACCACTCATCATGCACCCATGAATGCATATTAACTTGAAATTACACCATCCTCAAGTAATTCATCTCCTTTGTCATGAAAGGAAAGCTTACATAGCACACACCATCTTTGTTATGCTAAATAATGTATGCTGTTACATAAAAGTCAAATCAGACATTTAAACTTTAAGCTATTTAATGCAGTTCTGAAATACAAAGCTGAGAAATCCGAACCTTGGAGAGTGTATGAGCAGGAAGATGAATACCGTTATTTTTAATAACTGTCACCATATTAAAGTCAGGAGCAAAAATAGGAATTTGCTGAACAGTTCTAGGGTGAAACTTCAAAATGCCTAAGGGTATGGCTGTACAAACAAGCTCCCATGAGGCAAATTAGGGCTTATTTTACAGAATGATAGCTATTGTATGGTAACTGTGTGCAAGCTCGTCTCCCATAGGTAGTTTTACAGCACTTTGACTGAGTGATAAGGTACCAGAGGGACACCATTTGTCAACACAGTGTTGCCACACAGTAGCTTGCAGTTTGTAAGGCCAAGTCCTTGCTTAGGAGCAGAAGCCCTGCCTGGATATGCTTTTCTGTCTCTGCATAGAAGAGGACAGCACCTCTTCCCCGGGGTGGTGGCTATGAAGTTCATGCTGCACACTCCTACTGGCAAATATCTTGGCTCTCTTGAAAGGGAAGCCAGTGCTGGCTGGAAGAGTTATTAACAGTTGAGCAAATAAACAGATGTCTCTTCTCTCCTAGGGGTTAAAGGGAGACATTGGACCTGCGGGTATCATGGGTCCACCTGGAAGGCCTGGTCCTTCTGGCCAGCCGGGCCCACCTGGACCTTCAGGATCAGGTAGGCAAGAGATCAAGTGATTTCCGAAACAGTGTCCCTGCTCCCTATCCCTTCCTGACTCATGTACACCCACATAGGCATCAGGGATTTGTTTGCTTCTCCACTGACAGCAAGGAGAGGATTTCTGAAGGCAGGTCATGCCATCCTTGTTCATTATAAGGACCATATATGTTACTTTAAAGTCTATGTTATGGCTTTTGATGTTTCAAATAAAACCAAAAACATGACCTGTGGGACTTTGGCAGATGGGGATGATGAAAAGCCATCTGGCAGCCTTGGAGGGACTAGTTAATCTCCATCATCAAAGGTCTGCTGCTTCTCCAGATATCCTGGTTTATAGTGAAAGATCATGATTTCTAATCAGCCAGGACATACTCACCCTGTGCAGCTCTGTAAAAGAAAAAACAATGAGACTCAAGTCACAGTGGCAGTAAGGAAAGAAGGGAAGAGAATGAAAGGAATAGAAGTCAGAGGGGGGAAAAAAATGGTGAAAAACCCCTCTCTTCTGTAGATCTGTTAAGTGCTGTAGATCTATGCTCACTGCAATTCTGCATGTTGTAGAAACCATGAGAAAAATCTGACTGATAATTGTCCAGCTTCAAAGCTATGCATGCACATGAACTCTAGGCAGCTTGTGAGACCAAGACAATACATGACCCACAATGTTCAGTGACAGTGAACCCTCAGGCAGGGTTTTCTCAACCGGGATATATGCTAAAGTACCTGAAAATTAAAACAAAACCAATTGGGGAATACTGTTGCCTCAAAAGGACAACAGCTGCTTGCACTGCCGCTGATCTGTTCAATGTTCTCTTTCATTTTCCTTTCCCCTTTTTTTTTCCCCTAGCTTACATCAGTGGGCAGGAGGTCTCTTCTTGTAGTGATGTGAAAATGGTACATCTGTGAAGCTGGGGGCTGCTCCAAAATCTTCACATATCTCATGTCTCCCATCATGAAACATCTTTGTCTTGAGTAAATTAGCTGGAAGTTTTCAGAGGACAGAATTTTCACCATGAGAATGGGAAGGCAGCCAGGGTCTTGAGACTATTTTTTAAAGGCTTTATTCCATCCACAGAAAGTTTGTGTGTCAGGCTTGTTAATCTTTTTCCTCTAGAATATAAATTCTGATCCTAAAAGACCTTTCTGTAATGATGTCATTGCTTGCAGTACGGACATGTTGGCTCACAGTCTAGTTCTGCAGAGTAGCACATCCTTGCCAAAGTTTGAAAGTCAAAAAGCAGTATTTTTTTAATATTTTTATTTGTAGCCCTCCTGCATTTCTAGTTGGGTTTTCCTGTGCAGAAACCTTTGAAACAGCATTACTTAAGTGATTGTACAAATGCACAAGCCGAATGTGTTGTGGATGTCTACGAGTCTGACTCTACTCAACTTGGTGCGTAGGTGCTGCAGAGTGATCTGTGTGTCCATCATGTCCTGAATTTCTGTAGCTTCAAACAGGCTGACATTTATTCTAAGCAAATGATCTCTCTCTTTCTCTGTAAAGTTGGTAGAAAAATTTAAAATGTGATCTGAAATAATATGATTTTGTATGGTACAAACTCGAGTATTTCTCCTGATGTGCTGGAATTAGTGGTAATCCCTCCAGTGGGTTTGGTGGGAGATGTGAATATCTGAAAATTTAGGTAAATGCATATATCCACCTGACCTGTAATTTTTCCACTAAGGCTATATTTGTGTTTTGGGTATGAACATCACAAGATCAGCAACCTGCTATTTTGCTTCCTAGGGCAATTCGCAATAGGACCAAAAGGGGAAAGAGGACTTCCAGGGCCTCCAGGAAGATGTCTCTGCAGATCCCCACAATACATGAATAACCCGACATATGAGGAATCTGTGTTTGGACACAATTATCCAAAAGTTCCAGCGGTAAGCAGTTTTTCTGGGAGAGGATGTGAGTGATTCTTAAATACTTCTGTTATTAGAGGTGGTGTATTTGCTAATGGATTGGTTTTAATGGGGAAGATGTCTGTGTGTGGGCAATGTGTTACTTCTAGTGCACACAACCTGCCCACGCAAAAGAGTCTGGTTTCATAACTGGTCTGAGGGTTTTCCAGTTGAGGTGCTAAAATGTAGCTGTTTCAAACCGTAAGTAATGTAGCTTGTGTTTATAAACCTTTTGACAAGCCTGAGGATCCTGTCTTTCATCTGCTCCTGTAAATATATAACCTGTTCTTTTTAGTTCAGTAAATTGAAATATCTTTCAGATTGGTCAGCAAAGTAATAATCTCTTTCTTGCCTTTTTCTGATATCTTCTTCTGCAAAGACAGTGATTTCAGAATTGAACATTTCACGTATAAGATAGAACTTTCCCCAAAGCACAGACCCTCTACCTTGAACCAAAGAGGAGTCTCCTAAACCATGGGAGTCAGACTTCTGAGCTCCTGTCTGTAGGCACACACTTTATATAGCTAATTTCAATCTCTAGCCTTTTGGAAAGCATTTTTACGAGCAAATTTGACAAAGTACTTTCAAGGACAAGTCATTGCTGAAAAGCGACCTAGCAATCTTTCATCTCTAATTTCTTTGGACTTTGTAAATATTATTTCTGTACTTTTCCTTCTGCTGGGCCCCTACCTTATTATTCTGTGCATTGTAGCTCTTAATCAGCAATGAAAATGCTACCTTGCTGCTGCATAGCCCAGCCTCTCCACTCATGCAAGTGGATATTGCAGGGTGTCTGGTGGTCTCTGAATGACAATAAGCAGCAATTAGCTTTGTTAACATTCCCATCTGTCATGTTGTCAGAAAGCTGGTACAGTGTGTGAAAGGGCCACGCTCACAACACTTTCCATTAAACTGGGTCATTGAACTCAATCTTTTGCATGAGTGTGCTGCACGTCTCGACAGCTGCTCGCTCATCCCTGTGTTGCGTTACAAAAAGCCCCGTTATTTTTAAAAATGTAATGGTGAGAGGAGAAAGTGCATGAAATAAAAGTGCATATCACATCATGCTGTACACTGCAGAGCAGTGGTCCCCCTTTTCCTGCCCCTTTTCCTTTACTCCCTCCAGTATCAAGAGGGAGAGCTTAAACATTGCTATTATTTATTCTGTTTGGATCCCCATGCAGCAGCTTTGAAGCCTGCCTTGTACCTTGAAAACTATGGCCAGGGTTTCTATAGCTGCACATGGAAAAGACACAGAGAAGGTGCTTTGTGCCCCCAGTCCCCGTGTTGCGTGGTTCTCCAGAGCAGTGTCCTACCACAGCAGGTCCCCACTGCAATCACCCACCAACTCCTCCAGTGCCAGCACTGCCAGGGGAGGGGAGAGGCTGGGAAACAAAGCACTGGTTTTCTGTCATTCCTTTTTCTTTCATCTTTTGCAATTTCAAAGGCCAGTGTCTGTAATAGAGAGTTTCAGAGAGCACAGATCTGCTATTGATTTCACGAGAAATTAGAGCTCCAGGGCTGGGACTTGAGCTCCTGAGCACAATTACAGAATCAGTTCTTTGCTGGCTTCCTTTCCTTTCTTTCATTCAAGCTGAAGGCATTTTTATTCAGTCCTTCTTCAATGAAATTGGCCTTTGTCAGGGGCTATGGGAATATTCTGCTGTGTAAAAATTTCAGGGTATTTCAGGGTTTTAAAAAAAGCAATTCTGTTTCTGCTGGTGGGAATCAGGGTCAGACCTAAATTCATTTTGCTCAGAAGCACTCCATTTGCTTTTTCTTAATTTAAAAACTGTTTGAATCTTGCTAAAATTAATTTGATTAAGCTGCTGAAGGATGAGATTATTTCCTAATGTCCCTTACAGCCAATTTCAGTGACTGAGACATTGGAGAAAAAAAATGGTAAGAGGACAGCTTGTCCTAATTTCTCCATTTTTGAACCAATTTTATTGGTTTAATGGAAGACTTGGCTTTAGACTAAAGTATATGCATGTAAGGAACATGCATTTCAATGACAATTAAAGCTAAACAAAGTACAAAGTAGTAAAAGATAAGTGAAGGTTGCATTGAGCAATACCTTATTTATTTTGTAACTATGACCATGCCTAAAAAAATCATAGACAAACCCACAGAAAGCACTTATGCCCATATGGATTTAGCATTTAAGCACCTGATTATTTTTTTTGAGCAATGATTGTGCACTGATATTTACATGATTGCTCCTTGTGGATGTGCATTATGAAATAGGGGCCATTGGAGCCATAGCTAGGTGCTCAGGAAAGACCATTCTCCTTTGGAAACTTGCATCTCATCTTGCCGGTTGCAAAGGAGCCTCTTACGGTCTGGCAGTCCATGGGTGTAAGTTCTCGCACCATTCTGTTTCTGAAAACAACCAAACCATTTTTTTTCTGTGCAATTATTTGCAGATTCATATGCCAGTTTACAAAACCAGATTCTGCGACAATCCAAAATACTTCTTGAGAGGGTTGCCAATCACCTCTTTTTCTGTGCCTCAGATTTTCGTGGTGAATAATCAAGAAGAATTGGACCGGTTAAACACCGAAAATGCCTTAGCTTTTAGAAGAGACCAGAGATCTTTGTATTTCAAGGATACCTTTGGATGGCTCCCAATCCAGGTGAAAATATGACTGTGGTCTCAGAAAACTCGTGAGTGTATGTTTCATTTTTAAATACACCACATACTTCTGTACTTAAGGTGTCATAGAGAATCAATGAAGCAAATGGAGAAAATGCTCTTTTTTTGATCACTGCCACAACTGTACCTAATTCTGTGATTTTTTGTTCACAGGAGTCTTAATTACCGAGGTATTAACTCATCAGTGTTGCAGGTTTTGCTACAGTTCCCTGTGAACCAGGCTCCGCTGGTGAACTGGGGCTGATTTGGGGGAATTATGATAGTAAAGAGCATTTTTTTACTTAGGTAAAACTCAACAGTGTACAAAGTTGTGGGAAAATACTTACCCTGCAAACCAAACCACCTATTTCCTTATTGCTCCAAGGAGCAGGGGGATCCTTCTTGTGTCCATTGTTCTGTGTAAACCCTGTGAACCACCAAACGGTGGGATATGAAAACCTGGTTTGTGGGATCTGCCTCCCACAGCCCATCACCTCTGCTTGCCAGCCAGGCTGCTCGTGGTCAGCTCAGTAACCACTGTGTGGTTTTTTGGCCAGCTCACCCCTTTCTATCCCGTGGATTACCGCTTTGAGGGGGGCGGTACCTGTGGAGATGGGATCGTACAGGATGGGGAAGAGTGCGACGACGGCAACACGGTTGTGACTGATGACTGTATAAGTAAGTTACAGCACATCAAGAGTGGCCTCTTTCTACCAGGGAAGGTGCATTGATTGCTTCCACAGGGGACATTGCTGTGTAAATTGCACAAGTGTGTGGTTTGTGGATTGAGCTCAGGCATTGGGAGAGGGAGGCAAATGGCCATAGTGTGAAAACGGAGGTCCTTTGGGCATGTGGATGCCACACAGCATCACAAAACAGGTGATGCCAAACACTTCTCATGCATCTTTATTGAGGACCATGTACCTCAGTGAGCAGAGGTGTCTGCAGCCAAAACAAACCCACTGCATTTCAGGGGCCAAATCCAGGAGCTCGTTTACATACACACCGTCCCTGGGGGCTGCCAGCTTCCTGGCCAAAAGATGTGGCTTACTTTTGCAGTGCACCATAAAACCCCTCAGGACAGACACTGAAGCTGGCTGTTTTTAATAGTAAGCTACATCCTGGGTCCAGTAAAACCACTTTGGATTTTGTTTTTCACTTGTCTGGGGAAGGTGTCTGCCCACTACCTTCACTATTAGCTTTATACAACATTTGACTCCTGTCTAGTCAAGCTTCCTTTCATTTCGCTGAGAGCACACAGGCAGCTGTGGCAACCTTCACTTTTACCTTTCAGTCACTTGTACTGCGTCGTTCCTTCCCCAGAGCACAGCACCCTACACCATCTACAGCTGACACACAGCAGGTTTGGTACTCTGTTGGTTTTAGCAAAGGGATGCTTCATCACATTTTAGAACAAGCATCAGCCAACATTGAAAGATGAATTTATTTTTTTTTCATTTATATGAAAAAATTCATTTTTTAGCCTGACATTGAAAATGAGATGTATGCAGCTACGCCTTATGTGAGTTTGCCCAACCACCTGTCCATCACCATCCTTCCCTTTATAACTCAGGAATCCCAGCCAACTTCTCAATGACAACAGGAAAGAGATTTCAAAGGCAATTCAGTCACAACAGGTATAGGGAAATATATAAATAAATGCCCCTATAAGCTTGCCTGACTGCAGAGTAATCCAGTGAAAGAGCATGAGCTCTCCAGGCTTCGAGCATGAGAAAATGATTCAATTAGAATTTGCAATCAACCATGGAGAACAAGCATGCAGGCAAGCAGTGTTCATTAGTTCTAGTGCCTGCAAAATTGTACATTGTGTGTCTGGAGGCACATTTTATTGCTTAGTGCTACACACTGAGTAAAGCTTCAGGTTGATTGAGGCCTTGCAATACACAGACTTCTGACACCGACGTGACCTGAAGAGGTATCATTGAGTTCCTTGGAAATGAGCACATTGTCATCATTCTGCTCTTGTAACTGAACCAAAAGGAAAAGGTTAACTAAATATTAAGTGGATTTAATTGTAAAATAGGCTTATTGTTCTAAGAAGCATCTATTTCTAACAAAACAGGTCCTTGGTACAATTAATTAATCATTTCTATTTGCAAATAACCCACTTTAACTCTTATAAACTTCCTATTCTTGAGTGTCCTTTTAATCATTTGCTTAATAGTGTCTCCAAGATTATGTCAAGGGGATTTTAGCTAAGTTAATTTGTTGAAGTTATAAAGTCATACTCAAAAAGTTGAAGACATCAAAAACAAAGTCCAGTTGATAAAATAGCAAACACATTCACAAACTACTGCAACCTACATGCCAGCCACCATGAAAAAATGTCACAGGGCCCACTCAATCTCAAGTCAGTAGGAGTCAGCAGCGGGTAAACCACCTTTTTGGCAATCATTACATACTTTTCTTTTTTTCAATGCCAGGCAATAGGTCTGCATAATTGTATTTCTATGTGGGAATTCACTTGCAGTAACCACACATAGATACTGTGAAATATTGGGTAAAGGTCAAGGTTGGGATTGTCAAACAATTTAGGGACCTAGGAGTGTTTTTTGAAATTGTCATCTCCCTCATTTCTGTTAACTGTATTTTATGCTTCCTTTAATTTATTTTGAAAGTAGTTATCTATGGTAATAATAATTATTAGAATAAATACTGTTGTAATTAGTGTTTCTGTAGTAATTATTTTTATTAATTATCCATTCTTTCCCTTGGTCATTGAAATTAGGCTAAAAAAAAAAAAAAAAAAAGGATATTCTTTGTAGTGAAGAGTATTGCTCCTCCTAAGACAGTCCTTACGGGATGCCCTCCCCAAAATGCCTTGTTTTATACTTTACCCTTAAAATTCTAGTTCCACTTACCTCACCTGCCTCTTTTACATATGACGTGCCTTGAAGATACTTCTTGCCGTATTTTTCACTAGGATGCCGCCGCGCTTACTGCGGAGATGGCTACAGACACGAGGGGGTTGAAGACTGCGATGGGAAGGATTTTGGATATTTGACATGTAAAACATATCTCCCTGGGTATGTATAATCTTTTCACTTTATTTTGGGTTTTTTTGTTTGTTTGTTTGTTGTTTCTTTCTCTCTTTTTTTTGCCAGCTTTAAAACAGAAAAACACTACCCACTTAAAGCTTGTTCCACAGAAACCACTGCAGGTGTTAGGGAGAGAGTTTATTTCTGCATATCATTGACTTTAAGGACTAAATCTTATCTCTCACTAATAATCTCATGGCTCTTTCCTGTACCAAAATAAGAAGGGTCATACAGACATATGTTTGGCCATTGCTTGCAAACATTTCCTCATTTGATGACATTATCGTTGCATTAATATTCACCAATAACACACCAAGAGTAGGAAGGACCATGAGAAGGAGATATCACACCAAAGAAAAAAAAAGAAAACCCAAACCACAATCTCCAAGCGACCTCCTGTTGCCCTTACCGTTAATGGGTACTCTAGGGGTATCTTTGTTTCTGAATCAACCCATCATCTATCAGCCTTTCCAAAGACCAGGAAATTCACTCAACAGCAGATGCAAAGCCATATATCTGCTTAGCAATGTCCTTCATTTAAAACATCTGCTTATTGTTGACTTGCCTCCTCTGCCTTTGTTTGAGCAGCTTCCTCTGGTCAGCGTTTTGCCTCCAACAGCAGTACCTCTATTTAACTGTCAGGTATTGTTACTGGCTAACAGGAAACATTTAATTTGCAAATGAAATTATGCACAGAGCCCTCATCATTCATGGGAGAATAATGTGCTAATTGACAAGAATAAGAAACCACAGGATGTCTTTGTAAATCGAGTGCTGTGCTAATCCTTCCACTGCAATTGTTGGAGCCCTCCTGGTGTAAGAGATCACTAATATCAAGAGCAGCAAACCTGACAAACTGAAACATTTTACACAGATCTCATCTTAAGACAACATGGAGCTGTTTCTCTTGTGAAAACTGTTCCCTTTTAAGACCCTGAAGTTTGGTGCCAAAAATAGCACCACAAAAGCTTGAGATTTTTTTAATAAATTTTATTTTTCACGTATAATCAAGTTGTGAAGAGCAACTGAGATCCTTTATTTTTGTGTGTGGTCTGAAAATTATCTGCTAAACAAAAAAAGCTGTGACTCATCAGTACAATGGGATAAGTGTGTGAGCTTGGCAATCCCAGCAGAGTTTCATCCTAAAGCACTTTCTCCTCCAAGAGCTCCGCTGCAACAGATTTGCCCATTTTTTACTCTTTCCAGCCCCCAAATACCTCCTTATATTTCACACACCTTCATTTCAGATTTTATGTTGCTTTTCTGAGAATGCAAGTTATTCAAGGACCTGCTTAATGGCTGCTTGTGGACTATCTAATAGATGGGTTATTCACATATGCTAGCAATAAAAACTCATCAAAATGCTGGTTTTATCAGCAGCTCTGATCAGGACTTTATACGTAGAGTCACTGCAGCTCAGTTTAAGTCAGTAGAAAGTCAAAAATCACTGTTTTTCTTTATTTTTCAAGGACCTTTCAATTTACTTTTTTTTTAAATTATTATTTCAAAGGTGGGCATATCTCACTATTATTACCTCAAGTACATGAAAAATAAGTTAAAGGAAAGGTACAGTAATGCCTGCTGGAGCTATTGCAAGTAACTGGAAAAACACTTAACTCAGAGCCTTAGATATTTTCTTACACACTTCCTGTGGGTGAGCGCCAAGGCCTCCTGCACCTACCCCTGCATAACACTCAAGTCCCACTGCCAACTGGGATTTGATTTTTTTTTAATTGATATTACTGGGAATTAAGTCTTCACTCACAGTTTCTCCTGGACTCTTATTTTTGTTGACAAGGGGGAGGACAGTAGAGCACTGAGGGAAATTATCCTCTTATTTTTATTCTCATATGTTGTTGCATTTTCTGATGTTCATCACTCCTACAGAGAGTTACATCACACAGAAACCATATAACGTGAACTTTAGCATACTTTGAAACTGAGATATTCTCTTTTCTTCTAGGTCTTATGGAAGATTACGATGCACTTCTTACTGCTACATTGACTCTACACAGTGTCGGTACTTCACATGAGGGGAGCGAAGGTGGGTAGCACCCCACGAGTAGCGGGGTGCTAGGTGCTACACTATCATCTCTTCAAGAAGGACTGGGACAAAAAAAAACCAACCCTACCCAACATCTGTGTGAAAGCAAACAAAGGGACATCATGCTGCTGATGGCCATTTTGAGATGTTTTCCTTTTTTTTTTTTTTTTAAATTAAGGGAAAAAATAGGACCACTGCATCCTGTCTTAATAGAGAAAGGTCAAACAGTGTTTGCCAGTAAGACTTTCCTGTGGCTGTGGATGGCAACTTGCTCTCCATCACAAATGTGGCGTTAAGCTGCTGGAAACTGAATTTCACAAACCAGGAATATCATGTAACAATTACCTCGATTTAGCACTGTTACACCTACTTGTAAGCTCTTCAGGGTTTTTGTCTTTAAACCTTCTCAGCATAAACACAAAGCCTATCAGATGTGGTATCTGTAGAGACTTACTCTTCTATTACAATGTGAACTTTACAAGTGTTGTATCCACATGAGTGACAACTTCAGCAACATTAACTGTACACCTTCGTGGGTGGAAGGAGCAGAGGCCCTTCAGTAAGTGCTTTCAAGATCAGCAAGTCAACCAAAAAAAGTCGGTTAACCACCTTCAGGCCAAGACATTTGGCTGTGCATGCACGGAAATGCAAGCAGTCACAGGAGGCCTGAAACTGCAGAGGCCAAACTGAACAAATAAAGTGTGAAATAGCCAAGGAGCTCTCTCCAAGGAGGAAGTCAGACAAGGAGGTAAGAAAGAGATGGAATGTATTTCTGTATTTTCCACCTCTGTAGATCTGGCTGGGCTCTGCGTGACCCCGAAGGGGCTGGGACAGCATCGGTTACCTGCCTGAAACCACAGCGTGACCATGTACTCATCACCTTTACTCTGGTTTCCACACTGGAAGGTCTTTTTGTGTTCATCCCATTGTCCACCTGACCTTCATCACTCAGCTGCCAGCTATACCCTCTCCTCTCTCCCCCTCTCTCTCACTTGCTGTGTTCGCCGTCGTGTCGGGGGTACCCCCCAGTGTATGTCCTCACTTTTGTATGGCTGTAAATCACATCCTGGAGTAGGGTGTTTATGGATGCTCATTCATGCTGTGTAATGTACATAGATTTTTGTTTTTCAGAAAGTTTGTTCCACTATATCAGCTCTGACAGGAGTCAGGGTAATTATATACTTATTTATTAGCAGGCATTAAAAAACTTATTTCACATGGGAAGCATATTAAATGTTATGTGAAAAAGAGTCTATAACAGAAGAAAATGAAACAAAGAATGTGCAGAATTCAGGATTGAGAGCCTCAAAGCAAGGTGGTGTTTTCCTACAAACCACTCTTTTCTGCTTCCCCATAAGTGCTGTACATGACTGTTTGAAATGCGTGAGTATCTGTACCAGTGACAGCGCCGCAACAGCTGCACTTACACTGGTAAAGGTTAAATAAAGGTGGATGTTGTGTTACAATGATAATGCATTAAAGCAACCAAGAAATGTATACAACTTTTACCACCTGTAACTCTAACTAACTCTGCATGTCCAAAGTGACACTGGAAATCACCAGTTGAAAAAACAATAAAAAAATACAATTAATGTACTCTTTGTGGCTATCACTTACCTGGGCTCTTTATGCTGCTGTGAAGTCAAGCCACTGGCATTTGTAGCCCAGTTCAAAATTTTTCTTCTCATTGCCTTTTTTTAAAAAAAAAAACAAAACAAAAACAGAGGTCTTAATAAAAGGTCAAGGAACTACTGGGCTGAGGAACTTGCCCATCATAAGCTCTGGAAATCTGGGCACTAGCACAGCTGCCTTTTAATTTCCTGTGGTTGTGCAAGCAGTGAGTCCCAGCAGTGTCACACCACACAGGAGCGTGCATCCTGGCGGGATGCTCCCGAGGACAGCCACATTCCCAGCAGCATGTCCTGCAGACCCACCCTCCAGCTGAACCTCTGGCAGCATCTGCTGAGTGTTACCAACCTGGGCTTGGAGAGACTTCATCTGACCCCCTCACCTTCTCCAAGGAATTCATCTCTACTCCCGAAAAGGCTGGAGTCTTTGAGAACTTCGGTAATCCCAGTGGCCTGTCAGCTTCACTTTTAAGTCACATCCTTTTTAAAAGCTCCTATGTCTGAAAGACATTGAAGTCACAAAGCCAAGTGCACAGAGGGTAGGAAATGTAACCAGGAGTTGTGACTGTGCAGGTGAAATTGTCCTGTGTTCAGGAAGGGGTGCATCACTCTGGTCAGAAAGCATTCACAATGCATGGATTTTAAATACACGTTATTAATACAGCACAAACAGTTCAGCATTTTAACAGAAAGAAAGAGATGTAAGACATAAGGAAAAAAAAAAAAAGAGATATGAAAAAAGTTACTTACTACCATTACCTCTTGTTCCCCTCTCTTTGCAAGAGAAAGATAGCTGGGAAGGTGTTAAGTATATATGATTTTAAAATGGCAATTTTAAAATACCTGCTTTATGATTAATTGGTGATTCTTCAGCTGGATGGCGCCTTGTCTGCTGTGAATTATCCTCCCTCCTTCTCTGAGTTTCTTAACACATTGTGCCAAGTCTGGTTCAAAAGTCAATTGAGGTATTTCAGTTCCTTGGCCTTTTGCAGCAGCAAGCGCTGCCGGAAAGTTTTCTAATGATTAGTATGCAATTCTAGAGGAACACAAAAATAGTATGAGCTTACACCATGCACTGTATTAAATGTATACTAAAAATCCAGCTTGCACTTAATATATGATTAAATATATGTAGTTACCTACTGCGTGTATTAGTAGCTCATGTCAATAAATCATGCTACCTTAGTTCTGCTGTGCTCTTACTTTCACTTATTTCATTTTGGGTTTAACAACACAGTTTTTAAATATAATTACTCAACTTAAGGCTTTGGGCTGCGGTGTGGGGGATTGTCTCCTCCTGCTGCTTCATAAGGCGTTGGCTGGTTTGTAACTCCTGCCAGAGGCTGCAAACCAGATGTTGGACGCTGGTGGATGGTGGGAGCAGTGCTGTTGGCACCTCGGGTTCAGTCACTCCCAGCAGCCCACACACAGGCTTGGGGAAGAGACTCCTGCCTTGAAGTGGCAGCTGGCCAACCTGTCCTACCAATGCTTTTGGGTAGGACAGGGCATCCCAGAGAAGGGCAGTGCTGTCTGCCCCCAGGGAAATGGAAATGTATTGATGTCCAGAGAATGAATGAGTCTTTGGGGCAGTGTATTTTCTAAAAGTTCAGCTTCTGTGACACTGTCCTGTCCGGCTTCCCAAATGCCTACGTCATGGCTCTCTCAACTTTAAATCATTCAAAATCATAGCTTCCAGACCTGTCCTTGCCTATAAATCTGGTCACGTAGCTCATCTCCTCCTTTCTTTGTCCTCACAGTTTCCATAAACAACAACCAAGGTTCACATCCTTTGCAGCCCCTCCAAAGCCCCACAACGCCCTCGCTGCTCTGCAGGCACTGGCTTTTGTTGGCTTCTTTTTCAGCCTCTCATGCCTTCCCTCTTCTAACATCTTCCATATTGCAGCCCTGCTAATTTCAGAGCAAAGCCCCTTGGCCACGGTTTTTACTTTCTTAAAGGATGGTTTCTTAGAGGAGCTAACCTCAACGTCTCTGAAACTCATGTGGTGCAATTCCCATTTCCTTCCCACTCATTTAGACGAGGGGAGAGGGGATTAGTGGTTATGCTTAAACTGTGAGACCCCCTGAACAGGCACTGTCCTTGAGCACCAGCTGTTTATGGGTAATACCAGTAATAAGTCCCCAGTTAGCTGCTTTTGGGGACAATTCAATAGTTTTGGCACTCTGCTGCCACATACAGTCAGGGCATATATTAAAAAAAAAGACCAAAATAAAGCCGTGAAGAGTAAACCAGTACTGTGCTGTGATTCCTTGATGATACTCAAGTGTGTCATTCAGGCAAGGCAATGCTGCGAGAAGATCTTTAAAGAGTTGATGGAAAACCCATGTTTTAATTCACAAAGTGTGAGGCAAAAGAGAGCACTTTGTCATAGACTTCCAAGTTCTTCCTGTGAGAGCTTTTGCCTCAGGAGAGGTTTCCTTCCCTGGAAACCATTCTCTTGCATGGCAAGCACTGAGAAATGTCTATTGAACTCTGATACAGGCAATGGACTATTGAAATCTGCTATAGGCAGCCTGAAGTGCTGGCAGAAAGAGAGAATGAAGGAGCCAAATAGTGACTGCAAAATTGGGATCAGGAGTTCAGAGTAACTGATGCCTATTGATCTGGCAAGGGACTGTGCAACTTGCAGACCATCTGAGCACTGCCAAACCTCAATCAAAGAGGAAAAAAGCCTAAGCAAATGAGCCATTTTGTACCTTTACTGAACATGGTCAGTGAAAAAAACCCCACCGTATGACTGCATTCAGTTACATGCCCGGCAACGTGCTCTTTGCTGCAAACTGGGGTCCTCTGTGCTAAAGGCTGGTGTCACTCCAGGTCTGAAGAGGCCACAGCGTAGCCTGGGCACATGCTTTCATTGCATCAGTAATTACTGGGGCATTTAGGAAGACGGCCCTAAACCAGCCCAGCCAAGAAAAGGCTGCCTTTGAAAGGGTAGCCAGGCCAAATTATATTAGAGGAGTGTACTCCTGCTGGAAATTACATTAGTGGCTACTTCCCTCCCTCCGCCCCAACAAAATCTTGGTGCTTAAAAAGCCCTGAGTTATAGCCCTGGCCTTTCAGTGCTTTTAATTCACTCTGACAGTTTCATGTGCATCTGATGGAGGGTCTGTTTTAGATGCACAACCTTCTCAAGTGAGAGAAAACAGGGTTTAAACAGCCATGTTTTGCTGCAGCCTTTCCATCCTCTACTGAACGTGTAGCCTTCCCTGCATGGGGTGCTGCTCAACATTTCCTTTGGGAACAGAGGGGGAAGAAGAACCATGGAGCTGGACCCATTAAAACCTCCTGTAGCAAAGTCAAGCAGCAGTGCAGGGCTCTGCGGGGAGCCAGTGACTCTCTGACCATCGTGCTCAGGAAGGGAAGGGGACTTCTGCCACACACTAAATCATAGAATGGTCAGAGTTGGAAGGGCCTTCAGAATCACCTAGTTCTAACCCCCCTGCCCTGGGCAGGGACACCTCTCACCAGACCAGGTTGCTCAAAGCCCCATCCAGCCTGGCCTTAAACACTTCCAGGGATGGGGCAGCCACAGCTTCTCTGGGCAACCTGTTCCAGTGTCTCACCACCCTCACAGGAAAGAATTACTTCATGAGATCTAATCTAAATCTCCCCTCTTTCACTTTAAAACCATTACCCCCCATCCTATCACTCTGCTCCCTGATAGAGAGTCCCTCCCCATCTCTCCTGTAGCCCCTTTAGGTACTGGAAGGCTGCTATAAGGTCTCCCCAAAGCTTTCTCTTCTCTTAACAACCCCAACTCTCTCAGCCTGCCTTCACAGGAGAAGTGCTCCAGCCCTCTGATCATCTTTGTGGCCCTCCTCTGGACTTGCTCCAAGTCACCCCAACATGCATCCAAGCATCTCATGCTCTACAGGAAAAGCTGTCTGCTGGGCTGTCCCCAGGGCCATGGCTACCAGTGGCATCTCCTGCAGGACACAGGGAAGGACAAAGCACTCCCCGAGCAGTTTTGCAGGTGTGTCCTTTAGCCTGCCTGGCTGGTGTGCGACAACTCACCCACAGAACCTCGACAGAGTAGGAATCTGAGGTAATGGCACAATAAATCAGGCAGGAGGAAGAAGAGGTAACCTTAACCTCCTCACACAGCAGCACATTTAGTATATTTAGAAACTTGGCAACGGATAACTCTCTCTCAGTTGGTCTAAAGTGTCACTGTTTAATAAGTGAACAAACTGACATCAGCGTTAAATTCAAGCAACGATGGCAAGACGTATGTGTTTGACCCTTGTGCCAGGCATCAGAGGAAGCTTTAAGGATTCATCTTGAAGAGGAGACAGAGACCTGTTAAGGTCCTCAGCATCCCCCAAGCAGGAGTAGAACCTCATCCTCACCCCCCTAGGAGGACGAACCCAACCCAACAGCATTTCTCACTGCACCACTACTGAGTGGTGACTTAAGACGTGGAAATACAGGCATGTAAGGCTCATTTTCCATTGCACTTTTAACCAGAATGTCTCCAATTTGGTGGAGCAAGGAGGGAACCCCACACTGTTCCCCCACCCCATCACACAGGCCCAGAAACTTTTTAGCAATTAATTTTGTTTGGAAGAGAAGAGCCCCATTGCCCCCCGCCCTTCTCCCTTTCATTGTTCCCCCACGAAACTCACCACGCCGGAGATGGGAGATGTTGCACTGAGGCAGTCATCCATTTGGGGCAGGACATCTTTTCAGTGTTTCCCATGCCTTCCTCTCAGAGATTACTTCATGGACAAACATCGGGGAACCTGGCAATCCTGACATTTCATAACAATATGATTTCTTTTACACGTTTCCATTGGGCTCATCTTACCTACCTGATGCTACTGCTCTGAGGATGGGATATGTCATACAGGATAATACTGAGGACTGCTGAGATTTTGAATTGTTACCAGATTTAAAGGGGAGGATGACTGATTAGAGGTAAAGAAACAGAGAATAATTCAGGCAACTGAACTGTCCCGATGTGTCCTGTGGAAATGCGTATATTATGGGCCAAAAACCACAGGGAGATTGGTTGTGAAGTATAATAAAAAGCCAGATTTAAGCTCTGATGCTCCAGTGCATTCAGATAAACCACTGTAAACCATCTGGTGGCTGTAGTGGCAAGTTACTGTTTCACTGTCATTTGACCAGAGATTAGTTTTCAAACCCAGCAACAACCACAAAGCAGCAGCTTTGTGGGACCAGTGGGGTGAAGCTGGTAATTTCATTGGTCTTGGTGAGTGCAGCGAGGGGCAGAGAGGCTTGCTCTGTGCCAGGACTTTTTGAGCAAGATAACATCTGGTGTGAAATCCTGCAGGATTACAGCTTCTAAATAAAGCCAGGGAGCTGTACCTGTTGCTGCCTGGGGTCAGCAGCCTCTGCTTTAAGCTGCCTGGCACTGAGCTGTTATGCTCATCAATCTAAAGATATTAAATATTTGTTCTTTGCTTCACACTACCCCATTATTTGAAGGCAAATAATGCCCTTTAGGTTTGCCAGGGAGTAACCACATGGCAGGGAGGATTGAATTGCGGTGACCAGCCCTTGGGGCAAATAGGTTGACATAAGAGAGTTTGGACCGAGTATAAACAAGGAAGAACCAAACCCTAAGGACACACTAATAATGTGATTATTCCTCCTGCACTCAGCACAGGCCATTTGTAAAGGGAAACCCATGCTCTCTTTAGCTGCACTGCCCCTGTCTTTTGCAGCCCTGAGGAGGGCAGGATTCCAGCCACAGGGTGAAGAGAGGCAAAGCTTCCCTCGAAAGGCAAAGCCACCCAAAAGGCCATTAGTGATGTCTCAGCAGCAGGGTTTCTGCAGTGCCAAGCAGCACGGACGTGGGCCATGCTGGGTGGCTTGAGTTTCTTTCCTTGCCTGCAACACCCGTGCCCAGGTTTCACAGCAGGGCGGTCGGTTTTGCTGAGCAAATCCGTACGGGAAGAACAAAGACCTTTTAGTTTCTATTGTATCAATAGCAGATGGATTGCATTGGGAATTTGGGGAGCAGAAGGAATTCCCCTCTGCACCCTCACCACCTACGGATCCACTGAAGGTTGTTGCTGAGGGACACACACTTGACAACTCTGGTTTACAGGGATGATCAGATCTTTACTGACCTTTCCTTCGGGATATAAACCACAGCAGTTTTCCAGACCCTCTCTCAGGGTTCGAAGCCCACAAGAAAAGTCCTTTAAGGCAGGACTCCCTCATTATTTCCTTGCTTCTTTCTTTTTTTTAATAAAAAGGGTACTAACAAATAGTCATTTTTGAAAAGTTATATTGTCCTACTTTTGTATGTTTTTAAGCATCTTTTTCAATAGCTGAAAGCAGAGCTCCATTTGAGATAGTCTGTGGACAAGAAAATACACAGACAGATGAATCCTCTCCCTGTACTGATAACAGCCAGATACTCACAGGCTGTTCACATCACCCAATGATACAGGCCTACAAAAATGTAAATTAATATTGAATTACTTTATCCAAAGCAGAAGAGCTTTGACAGAAGAGAGTCCTATTTCAGAAGGAGCATAGCCTGGATGTATGAACTCTCCACACGGGTAAAGGGCTGATATAAGAAAAGAAAATGCCACATGAAGAAAATTCTGGGCTGGCTGACAAGAGGCATGTCCAAGTTCTTCAAAACAGTCCGGGTTTTTCCCCAGCTTCTAACCAAGGGCTGGTTTGAGCCTGCTGAAGGTGACTGATGAAGTGTGAGGTGGGTAAAAGCAGTGGGGCTGTAGATTAAAGGTGAGAGAATATGAATCCTTAAAAGATTGGGGGGAAGGGGAATTTAATAAACTGGATTGAAGTAAATAAATTGTGAAATGTTCTGGCAAGATCCAATGCACAAGTGGGACATTCCCCATGTCCCCGTCAAGGGGACAACTCCTTACAGACAAGTAAGGCCCCTATGCCTGGTCCATCTGGTGAGGCAGGACTGGCGGTGCCTCAACACAAGGTCCAGGGGCAGCAGAATGAAGTTCCATGTGGGAGAGCATCCCTCTCTTGCTCTTGACCAGCGTCTCCCACCTTGTTTTTGGCGATAAACACCCCCCAGCTGGCACAGTGCTGGGAGGGGGGCAGCTTCCACAGGGACCCACAGCTCCACGCACAGGGACATCCTGCTGGTGGAGCAAAAGCTCCTTGTTTTGCTGTTTTGGGGAAAGCTGGTTGCTGCCCGACGCCTCGGATGTGGAGGGTCAGGCTCAGGGAATGTCAAACACCTGAGAGCACGGCTCAGATGTCAGGTTTCGGAGAAAGCTGGGCCGGGGAGCGGCGGCTGCACCACACACGGCTTCCTCTCGCCTGCAGGAAGGAGGCTGGGTACCAGCTGCTAAGCAAGAAAGCAAGTGGAAAACTATGACCTATAGGAAACTATGCGAGGCATGTCTGGTCTCCGAAGACTACAGATGAGCTGGCGACACCAACACTGCAAACAGATGCTAAATTGATTGGAAATTATTTTGGCGGAAAGCCATAGCTGGAGCAGGAGCCGTGGTACGCAGACAAATTGATGCAAAATGCATTTTGAAGTCTCAGATCTGTTATTTTGAGAAAACGGTGACCTGTTCTCTCCCTTGACTTTGCACCGGCCACACACCAGTGCATCCTGCCAAAAGCGGTGAGCTGCACAGTTAAAAAATGGCCAAATGCTGCTGGTTGGCACCAGGACCCCTTGGGGGCCCCGAGAGGGAAGCAGCATCTCAGGGACTCCTCGATTGACAGCTCCGGAAGGACACAAGTATCACCAATTTGAGCTCCTCCTGCTGCAGGCAAAGATCCAGCACTAATGATGAGGCCTTGCTAAAGTGGTGGGTAAACAGCAAGAGATCCTGGAGAAATTAGAACAGATCTTGCAAGTTGAAATACCAGGAAAGGAGTACAGGCTGGTAACAGGAGAAGGTTAGGGGAATGCAAGAACACAATGAAACTTGGGAAAGCCTTTTTCCCTAATCCTCAAAGTCAGGGGTTGAGCCTGCACTGCAGCTTCTCTAGGAACCATCCCCTGAAGTTTTCCAAGGCTGATATGTTTTGGTTTTTTTTAAAATTATAATACACAAGAAATAAATCTAAAATCTGGGTTTAGACAGAGAAGGAAGGAATGAGTATCTGCTAATTCAGAAATATATTTGGGTCATTGTACTGAAATATTCAGAAAAAATACATGGTAACATGTTGGACTGAACCTTACAAACGGACAGATACATACCTTGGTTTCTGGTGTAGTTTCTGGTGCTCCAGGCCTCCAGAGACACAACTTTTCTTTTTTACCTGCACCACACCAAGTCAAAACTGCCAGGGTCTCATGACTGATAACCTGCTCCTTTCCTTGGGAAGGAGAGGAGATGAACGAAACCCTGGGGTGATGAAAAAGTCAAGTGCTCCCTGAGCTGGGAGGCCTTCTGAACTCCTCCTCCTCCTCCTCACTGAGCTGCCAGCTACCCACCAGCTCAGCCCCAGCAGATGAGACAGAGGGATGCTGTGTTTGGGGCTCCTGCCAGCCCTTGCTGGAGCAGAAGCAGCTCAGCCTTTGCAGAGCTGATGCTCTGGGGCCCACTGCAATCAGCTAAAGAAGAGTTTGGAGCCTCCTGTATCCCACAGCCGAGCAGCGCTGCTCTTGCTGCAAGAGGGTACTTGCATTCTCCCCTCTGCCACAGGGCTGGCTCAGTCTCATCTGCTCTTCCCCAGCTGAGAAAGTGCCTCCGCCACTTCACAAATGGCAACATCCAGGTGGAGATCTAACAGAGGGGCTTTGCCCTCGCAAATGGGTACCATAGATTTGCCCAGGCCCATACTGCATTCATACAGAGAGAGAGAGAAAGGGAGGAAAAAAAGGGAGATGTTACACCCACATCAAGTAAGGAACGCTAGCCTTCATCTTCATCTCACTATCACCACACAGATTTCAAAGACTTGAGGAACTCCTACAGAAGAGATTCAAGTCCAGGCAAAAGGACATATACTATATGCAATTTTAAAATACAAATTCCTCTCACACTGCCAGGCTGGCTTTTGTAACTACGGACTTCACATATTTAGACTGGCCAAGGACCCACAACCACATGCCAGACACAGCTTTTATTCTCGTAATCAAAACAGGCTCCATGTGTGTTAACATTCTTCTTACAAAGATACATACAGGTAGTTTCTATGAACCAGAAACATACTGTTTTCGACTGTTCACACAGTACCTAGAACAGATGCAGTCCTGAAGAGCACTTTAGGCCCCCTATTGTAATAAAAGAAACAAAATCCATGCAAGGAGAAAGTGAGATTTTAAAACATGCTTATTTAAAATAAGTTTATTATAATGAAATAATATAAAAGTCTGACAAAGTTCTTAACAATGCTCCAACAGAAGAGAGACAGATGCTGTATGATTTGAGAGATGATGCTGACCAGAAACGTCAAAGTATTTTAGGACTCAACTGCTTATGCCAGCACAATCTGTGCAACACTTACACTGGAAGGGGTGATTTTGGGGGCAAGAACAAGCCCTTAGAATTAAGTAAATTTAAAGTGTGAGGCAATATACCTTCTCTTCGTTTCAGACGTATTTCAGCACATATAAGTAAGGTTTGCAGTAAGCTCTACTTGACATTGACAAAACGTATGCCCAAAATTGCCTTGAAAAAAAGAAAATAGGAAAGGAAACCACAAAAGCAAGCTGCTTTGGTTTTCAATTTAGTCACCATATTCCGGAATGCAATTTACTTGGGAAGTTTAGTTTCAAGTAGACATAAATCTCAAACTTTCAAGATGACTTTAAATAAAGGAATTAGGAAGTAAATTTTGGACCCCCTGAATGCTGCAATGCAAAATATAGAGTGCTAAGCAAAAATCAGGAAATGAAAACAAGGAAGTTTCATAAATTAAAAAAAGAAAAGCTAACCAACCTTTGGCACATCTGGAGTATTTGGGAGGAGAAATAACACACCAAGAAAGGGATACTAAAAATTATAGTCAAAGATCACATTTTGAAGAAGAGCATGCCAGTGGGAGGGTGAACATGTGTTTAAGTGAAGCACACACACGTCTACGTTCTAAATTCAAAGCAAGTGCTTAAATCCTTGTGCAAACTGTGTCAGGTACTGCCTGGGCTTGCTCAGGGCCAGTAAGTGAGCTATGATACCCCTTCTGCACAAGGGTGATTTTATATTGCTTGGAGCACGCAGTAGTTTGCAGGGTTTGTTCACCAAGGGGCTGCAGAAGGCAGGAAAGAGGCACAAATTCAGTTATTCCTGCCCCCCTTCTCTTTTTTTTTTTATCAGTACTATGCAGGCAAGGGAACAGAAATCAGTCAATTAAAAAAAAAAAATCCCTGTGCTTTCCCTCAAAAGAGGCAGAACTGCCAATTTTGAAGTGTCCTGATTTAAATTTCATCAGTGAAATTAAAAGTTCAAAGTGGTGTAGTTTTCCTGGCAAAATATGTCAAATCAAGGAGAAACTTCAGAGAAAAGCAGAACATCCTCCACCTGACTGTGAGCCTGGCTGCCTGCCAAACAAGTCAGGTCTGATTTTCCAACATTACATTTTTATCACTTTCAACACTTCCTGCTTTGTGCTCTTAATAGAGAGATGCTTCAGTTTGACTGCAACAGCTCCGGCAGCAAGGAAGTTGAGGACGGAAGGAAAGGAAAGGGTGGTGACCAGGTGAGGGAAGATGGAAAGTTAGCCACATAGGAACATCTAAGGGTCTTTTCTGGTGTTTAAAAAGCATTTTAGGGCTCCGTAAAGCTTTTCACAAAAGCTGAATTGATAAAGAAAAGAAAGGGTTAGAAGGTCCAGCATATGGACATACGTAACACTGTTTTCTGTGATGGTCCACATCCCTTTGCCAAAGGAGGCTGCAAACAACTGGAGCACGATTTGGGCATACTTTTTAAATGTCCAGCCAACCAAGTGACCTTTTCCAAACTATGGAATATTTTTAAAGCAAACAGCTGTAACCTAAATCCTGATGATGCTTTATAAAGATCTTCCAGTGAAGGTATATGGCCCTTAACTTTAAGTGCATCTGTTAAAGGGGGAGACCCATATAACAACAGTGTCAAGATGGGATGTTTCAATGACTCCTTAAGTTTACATTAAAGCACTTGAGAATCCAGTTCATATTATACAATTGTAATGTCACAGAACTTCAATATGCAACGGAGTATGATGTCTTAAAATAGCAGAGGGGGCTCCAGAACACAGTTTGTTTAAAAAAAAAAACAAACAACAAAATAAATAAAATAAATAAAAGCCTCCCATTGCTAAGCAGAACTCGACTGAAATTATTTGAGAGCTCTGCTCTAATGCCAACAGCACTATATTACACAGGTGTGTGTATGATCTCTATTCAAATATGCTGACAGCCATTATTCAGTACTAGATAGCACTTCTATCAGATTGCTTTGGGATTTACCATGTCTCAGCAAGGATGTGCACTGGATAGACACTGTCAGTGCCATACGCTGTATCAGAGTTCTATGCTCAGCTATACTATTACACAAAAAGCAGCCTTACTCCCCTAGGGTAAAGCTGTGATTACTCTTATTTTGCCATCGCTAAGTAAAATCCCTGAGAATATGCAACTGTTAGACATTGAAGGAAACAGCCGAAAGCATTTCTGAAGAAAAGGGACGCAAAACTTCAGACTAGTGCAGTTTAAGAAACCAAAGCAGTTCATGTAAAGTATACAGAGCAAGGGTGCTGTTATTTAAGAGTCATACGGACCACTATCAGTACCCAGGTCAGTTGTTCATAAATGTCAGCCATTAAAAAAAAAAACCACCAAAACAACAGTAACTAATCAATGAACCAAACAAATCAAACAGAAAGCAACAAACTTGTCTCCAACAGACAAGAGAGCCTGCTCTGAGGCAGGATTCCATGCTGATTAGAGGATATGCAATGTAGACCACTCTCTATTTGTTAGAGGAAAGAAGAATGGTAGTAATTGCTGAACCAACGGCCCAATGAAGCTTATGGCCCAACAAAGCTGTTAAGATCCCTGCTTACAAAATAAAGCCTCCTTACCTTTTGCATCAAACTGTTGGGTCTGACACACTACTAACAAACCAGTGGTTCTCCCGCTATTTAAAAAACAAAACAAACAGAAAAGCCAAAAATAAATCTAAGGCTAAGTGCTGAATACACTTTCCTGCTACTGGAAAAGCTTAGAGCAAAAAGGGAAGCCAATTTTCACAATCTTCACAGGTAATTTCTAGAGAAGAGGGATCTCTTCCTGCTCTTCCCATAGCCCGACCTGATATTTTGTGGAATTGTGGTCTCCATTACCTTCCCAGAGCATTCAGGTAAGAACTATTACAGTGAAGTTTCCAACATAATAGCTGAAAACCCTGAGGAAACCATGTAGGGTAGAGAGCTGGTTGTTCTGCTGCAGGGGTGGTTTCTTTCCATTCATGCTTAGAAGCGGCAGACAGCCAAATCCCACAGGCTCTCTGCTTCATTTTTAGCACTGCAAGTAGTGAAATAATTGAATGGAGCTTTGGTCAAAAGTTTTACTTTGTACTCAAATATATACTACTTCACTTAAGAAAACCCAAAAAACCTAAAACTCCCACATCCTTCTGATTCCTCTTGGTGTATGTAGGAACTACAGATAGGCACAGCTCAGAGAAGATGACAGGAACAAGAAAGACATGCTGTTTAAACACCTAATTACAGTTCTGCTACCTTGCTTTATACATCAAGTGTGATGCTTGGTCTTTTCTTCAAACTTCATATGCCTTTCTTAAAGCTCCTTAGAAAGGATCAAGTGTTGGGTGTGCAGAGAGCAGGGCAGCAGACCTGCAGTACATTCATTTTACTGACAATGTGGCTTTTAGCCTAGCAAAAGCCAGTACTTCTCCCTCCTGTATTTATGAAGATTTACTAATTCTAAGTACCTCATTAGCACAGCCTTCTCTCCTCCTGCCCATGAGTTAAACTCAACTCTTTGCCCAAAGCCATCTGAAGCCCTAGGACACCACTGAGAGACCCTAAAAGGACTGCTTTATTATTTTTAATAGCAGCAGTGTTAAGGAGAACATTTTTGTCTGTATCAGCAAAATGGGAAAAAAACTTTTACTTTCTTGATTTCCAGTCACTTTTACATCATTTCAGATTTTCAGGTTTGCAATTGGCCCAATGTGTAATGGTTCCATGACAAATTCTAGCTTCTCCAACGTTTACCCATTTCATGTCCACTTTCATGAAGTGTCTGCCCATAATGGCAGCCTAGGGAGGATTTTAATAAAATCTGCTTTTTAAATTGCTAGCTGTATTCAGTTTAAAAGCAAGTATTACATTTTCATGTGAATTTGATTTAAGAAAACCCTAAACACAAAACAGAAAAAAACACCGAAACCTTAATAAACCAGGATGATGGACGTGATCTACCACTCTGCTGCACACACAGCTCTCCCCTAAGGTACGGGAGTGAAGGCCAAATTCTGCTCTGTCACTTTTATGAGGTGAAGAGAAGAGGGAGCTCACAGGCAGGAGAAAAACAGTCAAAAACATTCATCACAGACATAGTTATGACCCAAAGAGAAACAGTACCTCTGCATTTAAACACAAAACAAGTGCTAACAAAAAAAAATAATCATACATACCCTTCCCCAAAAACACTCACGACACCCTTCCCACCTGAAAAGATACAATGAACAGAAACGATGTCCAAAAAAAAAAACCCAAAAAGAAAGGAATCTTTGTTAACAGACACAGTCCCTGAAGTTTTAATACACGGTCTTGCTGTAGTCATACCACCTCATCCGACTCCAAACCATGTACTTCATAGAGAGTGTCCAAGATATTTAGCTGCTTTTCCATGGCTGGTAAATAAATGTTGAGGTCCCTCTGCATTCCTTTGTAAAACGTTTCTTCCTGAGGATCACACTCCTCTACAGACAGAGCTGCCACAAAGTCTTCGTACGTTGGAGCTGCCCTTAAAGCTAACTGGGAGAGGAATCAAAGCTTTTAGGTTTGCAAAACAGAACAGGAAAAGAAACCAAACTAAAGCCATGAAAAACAAACTCCTAAGATATGCCTCTCTGCACGTAGATTGCATAACTTTAATGTATTTATGTGTACGTGCATATGTTAAGATTTTTAACTGACAAGGTATATATATTTTTATATATAAATATATATAACTAACATATATATATTTATTATCTCTATGTAGATCCCCAGTTTAAGACATCTTTAGAGAGGTCTGATTTTTAGGAAGTGAATCAAACAGGAACCCTAAATAAAGTACAATTTGTTAGGGGAGCTCCCAACCCAGTGTCACACACCTCAGTGGTGAAGTCCCATTCCCAAAACAGTCTTAGAACACTTTCCCCAACATTTCTGTTTCTCCCAGTCAAACGCTCTGTCACGACTGCCTGGATAGAGGCTCTTCTTTTTTCTTTTCTAATTTCGGTGATGATTTCCAGTGACAGACACGAGGGGGAGCTGCCAGACTGGACAAAAATACACCACTGCCTCCAGCCAATATATTCTGCTTCAACTCCCCGACATGTTCTGCACTAACCCTTCCTGAATGCTCACATCCAAGGACAGATCAATCCTCAAAAAAGCAACCTAAGCCCCTCACTCTTCATTTAATAGCCCCATAAGACTGCTAAAAAACACATAATGAAAAAAATGTGCCCGCAAGCGTGACCTGTTTTGGCTCCAGAAAGCAGGTTCCACCCTGAAAGCCCAACGCTGGACACAGGGATGGTCGCAGGCCTCACCCAGAAAATATGGTCTGACAAGGGAATCCATTCGCTTTAATGCGTATAATTTTAACATGGTATATTAATTACACAACATTTAACACAACATAAGATCACATTAACAACACCTCTAGCTCTGTCAGCAACCAAGATAATTACTTACCGCAAAGACCCCGCGGACAACCCAACCATGGTGCTGCCGTAATGTCTTTCCATAAGCATTGTCTTAAAGGAAGGGAAAAAAAAATTAAAAATAATTCCAGAGAGATGTATGGCAGTTTTAAATTTGCATCACAAAGAGGACTTAGAGCTTAGAAACGACTATTTAAAGATATATTCTTGCCACTGGATGGAAATAATGGCTGTTTCTGAGCACCAAAGTTATGACTGAAAGAAGGTGACAGATTTGGGATTTCTGCATCAGGGTCTCAGCTCTGCTGTCACATCTTCTTCAACTCATCCACAGCAAGTAAGTATTCTAACAGACAGGAAGGCAAATGTAATTTTTATTTGACTAACTATGCTCCAAGCCTAACACTTCTACCTAATTCTCAGTTCAGTGCAAGTCTGAGAAAATAATATTTGGGGTGGAACAACCCTGCAACCTGATGGTTAGCCAGCCTCAATCGAGGTGGTTAGCTCAGGCATTTACATCTGAGGGTCAAGTCTTAAGGGTCATTGGAACAGAAAGCACAGGGCCCTTATTAAAATAATCCTCAGGATCTCTATTGTGAGTTCCCCTGAGTGTAGCCTTTGATAAAGGCGTTATGTTCCTAGAAGGCTCCACTTTCGTATACAAAGTTTTCTATATGAAGCTGAACATCTTTGAAACGCATTTTCCCAGTCTCAGTTTATCACTGTTGTCATTTTATATCCTTGTCCTTTAGTTGAATTTTTAAGTATCTGACATTGTATTATACTTTCCCTGAGCTGTTCACCTTGAAGAAAGAGAATCTCTACATTTTGCTGCTTTAGGTTATTTGCTCAAAAGACTGTAGACAGTTACTACTGGAAGAGAGTAAGTAGTTGGTAAAACATAGCCAGAAGTTTTGCTCTAAAGTACTCCTCATCTATCAGTCTTATGATGGGGGAATGCAGCTTTTTTAACTTTACAGTAGGAGTGAGAATCTACGAGAAAAGCACACAATACTAAGAGCAATGATATAAGGGAAAAAAGAGTATTGTGTAGCAAATAGGACTGACAAGACTATTGTCTACCTTATCAGCAAGCGCAGGAGACATTAAAAACACCAGAAGTTGAAAAGTTTGGTTAGATTTAAGTCCCAAGTAAAAACAAATCCAGTTAGAAAGCTGGTTGTTCCTCAGAAGATCATAAGAACTGGCAGATATTCCATTTTTTATTTTAAGTTCATTAGCTTGACATTTGAGGTTGCAGAAAGAAAACATATACCCCATCTTTACTTGAGATTCAAATAGCACAGGAACTCCTAAATACGAAACTGTAACAGTAAACCAAAGCTGCACTGGTGATACAGACACGGAAGAGCTTTTCAGAGGGAGAAAGGGAAGGAAGAAGTGAGAAAAAAACCCAGCTGCCGGGGACACAGAGCAATTCAAGAAGTAATTCAGTGCTGAAGCCTTCAGACTCAGAAGGTCAAATAAGTGCCTTGACTTTCTGTGTATTTAACATCCACATCTGGTAGCAGAGTATTTACAGTCCTGCTTCCAAGAGCTGCTTACATACTTCGGTGTAGTATTTCTTTTTACTAATCCTATAGGACAAGTGCTTAGCTGTTTAAAAGAAGCTAAAAAAAAAAAAAAGCAGCTTCAAAAAAAGCCCCAACTGTTTTAAAGCTGTTTTAAAGGATTATCATAACACTAGACTGCACTCATATAGTTACTCGGGAATAACCAAGTCAAGTCTAAGAGGCATCTGTATTTTGTTTTATTCTTGCTGTGGGCACTAGCCTGACTCAATAACCTTCAGAAATTATGTAATTGGAAAATAGTCCTCTTTTTCTGCTACAAACTCCCTTCTAACTGATACAGGCAATTCAGTAGCAAAGAGGTGATCTCAATGAGTGATGCCCAATCTCAGAAGGAACAAAAAAAAATTAAAATAATCAAAATTGACCAGGTATCTAGTAATCTGCCTGAATCAGCCATTTTCAAGAACTGCAATTTTCAAAAAAGTTACCCCTTGGAGATTACTTGCATCATTAGTCACTGAAAAAAAAAGAAAACACAGGTTCTAAAGGAGAAGGAAATGAGCCAAGTATGCAAATTCAGAAGCACAAGAAGAATAAAGCAACTGGCACTTACTCAGAGCTGTTTGGATATTCTTTTCCCCGTTCTTCACTTCTGTCAAAAATCCTTTCAAGAATTTTAAGCCTCTGTCAGGATGAACCCACAAAATAAAAAGAAATCATGTTTATAACGAAGTAACCCAAAGTAAAACAAAGCCCCCAAAGTGGCACTTCAACTCAGAAGTGCAATAAAATTCAGAAGTGAAGACACTATTTTCAATGTGAATAAAATGTCCCACATTCTCCAGCCTTTCTCCTAGCCCAGGGAAGGACACTTTGCTAAAACATTTCTGCTGCAGCCTGAAATCACCTGCCTGATGTTCTGGCCCAGCAGGATCAGTCACTCACTAGAACTTCACTTTTACAGGAAAAAAGGTTGCCTACAATCGGTTTTTCAGGCCTTTTGGCAAAGTTGTGGTGATACGTCCACAGACAACACATTAATCTTGAACCTAGCTGGTTTGGACTGATGGAGCCTGTGGAAAGTAACTGGTTTGCTGCACGTACATAAGCTTGGACTGGTGAAAGCCCCCTCATTCCACCTTAGCAGTTATCTGAGTAAGTAGATATGAGGTCATTACCTTTTCAGCCACAGGAGAGCCTCTGTAGCAGAGTTTCTAACTTGTGCTACGCCAGCATTCACTTCGTGGAGCACTATCTTCTGAAGGGTATCAAACTCTTCTTTGTTGGTTATAAATTTCTGGTTTATTTTCTGGAGGGAAAACAAGCGGCAAAGCTTTAGGCTTTTATGACCAAACAGTGGCTTGTCCTAAAAATACCACCTATTTATCAGGACTCTTCCCTGCAAAGGGATACCACAGATCCCTAACCATGTCACACACTCCTCATGCTGGGCACATCTTCCCAGGGCACAACCCTGGACACATCTGGCAAGCCATCTGGTTAAGGCAAACAAACAAAAAAAAAAGCATCTTGGTCAAAGATTTACATGGAACCTACCACTTTCTGTCTGACAAAATGCTTTAGGTTCACATGACATCCTCTGCACTGGTGGAAAGGAGTTAACTCAAACTGCTCTCTGAGCAAAGTCCCATTTGCCCCAAGCTTCAAGTAAAAGCAGGATTGTCTTCTGACAACTGCTAAGCTACAAACTCTCAATTACACTTAGCGTTCATTGGCATGCTTAAGCTTTTAGTTTATTCCAAAGTTTGGTATACACAACTCCTCACAAAAATAAGAGGGAAAATATAAGAGGCAGTTAAACAGAGCCATCTTCTACATTAAAGGAGTAGCTGCCTATCACTTGACAATAAATATTCAATTTTATTTTTTTTAAATAGCATTCTTCCCTCTTGCTATTTTCAGCCTCTCAGTGGCCACCTTCAGCAAGGCAAGTGCAAACCTGCCTTACTCTGCACCAAACAAATCTGAGTGTATGAAATGCTCCTTATCATACACTCAGGAGATAGGTTTTGCTTTTCTTGTTTTTCATTGAAATAAAAGCTATGAAAAGTCTCACTATGAATACATCTTGTCTCACAAGTAGCACTTCAAGCCTTTTCAGACTTGGAGCTGGAAGGACTGTCAGAATGAGAACCAAAACTGCAGGATCTGCCCCAACTGGCTGTGAGGCTCCTTCTTAACACACTAGTTTGCTCCTACTTTTTTGAGGAAAGGGGTTTTTTTTCCTCTCATGATTTGTTTTACAGTCTGAAGTCAATATTGCTAGCGTCGCATCATGACTTACAACCTATTCAGCTCAGAATCAAAGTAATATCATTAGGTGTAACAGATGTTTTACTTGGCAGTCAATCAAATATTTTATAAGTTTGTGCACAACAGCTGGATTTATTAAACACAGCATTTACTGTAAGAATAGAATTTGGGGCATATCAGCATTCTGATATGACAGATGGTAACATTATTACATAGCCTTCCAGTATTGACTCCTACAACGAAGATTCTTGAGCTTTAGTACTTAAAATTGATATTTTAGTTAAAAAAAAAAAAAATCAGTGTTAGAAATAAGCTGTTACCTTGATGTTACCTACAAAATCCATTTTAACAGGAGCAAAAACGGTTGGTCCCAGCTTGTCTAGAAAAAAAAAGGCCATATTTTAAAATTATGTCTTTTTCCAGTCCTCAGTAAATTAATTTTATTTACTCTCTTAACAATCCTTCTAAACGGCAGAATACTAAATGAATGATGTCAACTGAAGCCTTTCTTTGGTGTAGAACCAATCCACCCTACTTGTATGAGTGTTAAAATACATTGGGAGCCTTCAAAAGGGTCAGTGCTTACAGGGTCCTCACATCTACTGTTAGATTCAGGGGCCATGTGAGTCACAGAATCATAGAATGGTTTGGGTTGGAAGGGATCTTAAAGATCATCTAGTCCCAACCCCCCTGCCATGGACAGGGACACCTCCACTAGACCAGGTTGCTCAAAGCCCCATACAGCCTGGCCTTGAACCCTTCCGGGGACGGGGATTCCACAACGTCTCTGTTCCAGTGTCTCACCACCCTCACAGGAAAGAATTTCTTTCTAATGCCTAATATAAATCTGCCCTCTTTTAGTTTAAAACCATTACCCCTCATCCTACTGCTACACTCCCTGATAAAGAGTCCCTCCCCATCTCTCCTGTAGCCCCTTTAGATACTGGAAGGTTGCTATAAGGTCTCTTCAGAGCCTTCTCTTCTCCAAGCTGAACAATCCCAACTCTCTCAGCCCGTCCTCATAGCAGAGGTGCTCCAGCCCTTTGATCATCTTCGTGGCCCTTTGCTGGGCTCATTCCAACAGGTCCAGGTCCTTCCTATGCTGAGGACACAGTACTCCAGGTGGGGTCTCACCAGAGTGGAGCAGAGGAGCAGAATCACCTCCCTGGACCTACTGGCCATGCTTCTTTTGATGCAGCCCAGGATGCGGTTGGCTTTCTGAGCTGCCAGCACACATTGCCAGCTCATGAGTCAGGGACTGCACTAGCTGGAGATAGAAATCTTTGGAAAAATCAAATAGCAGCAACAGCTAGTACAGCTGATTGTGTGCCACCAGCAGTACTAGCAAGGCATTCCACGCTGTTCTTTTGAGGGTAAGAAATTGCTGTTCCAGATATACCCATAGATTTCCAGACAGCTTACATGGCTCCCATCTAAATGGGAGTGCATCCTCTACAAAGTGAAAGAGTAAGAAACATCTTCTGGTACCAAATTGATTCCGCTGATAGCAACTATTTTTACTACATCATTTTGGTGAAGAAACAAATTCTCCAAACCAGCTGCTCCACGTTTTATCACAGCTGGCAGCAGTCAAAAGCAGTCAGAGGCACAAAAAGAAAGAGCTGCTTACCCAGAACAGGCACAATTGCATAACATGACTCCAGAAACTCTTCTGTCGGTATGCCCTCCTCCTCCCGAAGTTCAATATCGCTGAACCTGGTGTCCAGGACAAGCAGAAAAGACTGTTACCTTAACAACTCCTTTTGTGTAACTTCTAAAGGCAAAATGACATTTCACGCCCACTTCACCAGCATAGAGGTAAAATTTATAGACATGGAACCACCAACATGGCTTTCGTTTCATTAGGTTAATGTAAATGACTGCAGAAAATACACATTTCGTGGCATGCAAGCAAGGCCTGTAATTACAACCAAGGAAAAAACCTCCCATTCCACTCTGCACAGACAATTCTACAAAGGATACTTTCTTCATTTACTGTGCTGTATGCAGTCTTGTTAAATAATCTCAGCAAATACAGCTTTATAGACAGAACAGACTGAAAAATTAGTCAATTAAGGGCTTAAAGTTTTCAATAATCCTTGCAATTTACATTTGCAACATGTACTACCTATTGCTCATGACACTGAAGAAGGTAGGAGAATCATTTTCATTTCTGTCTTCCTCACACAGGGTCAATCCACTTAACGAATTCATTTCTGATTGCAGCAACTTCTGGGCACCAAAGCTTTCTACAGCTTGCAGCTTGTTCTCTCCATCTTCTTTAATGGAGTTTAATGGAGTTTATAGGAAACAGAAGAAAAACAAAAACAGAAAAAGAAAACAGCCACACACCCACATTGTTATTCCTGTTCCTTGTGACATGATCTGTCTGAAGGAAGGTATTTGGATATCCGTATCATGCAAGTTTAAAAGCTTGCCCTGCGAGCACCATGACTCTCAAAGTTCCCCTTCTGTTGGGTGCTCAGACCACCTTTCACCAAGCCCTCTCCCCATTTCTTTTAACCTCACAGACCAAGCACCAGGCTCCAGTGCAGGTGGGCCCACACATCCCCAGCAAGGACAGCCTGATTAAGGAAGAGCATTGAAGAAGTGATTGGGTGCAGCAGGGAGTAGACTCATCTCCTTGAAAGAAAGATTACTTCTGACATGGCTGTAAATAACTTCCCCAGTGCTGATAAAGTGGCAGAGTGCTTTTTCAAAAGCAAAATAATAATAGTGATTTGTTTGCTCCTTCTGGTAAGTAAACTGGCTGCTTAGATGGGTACTGCTACGATATCAAAGTCTGCTATATTCTCCCTGATTTCCATGAATATCTTTTTCCAGAAGAATCAGTTGCCTCTTCCCCACTGTGGTCTATTTTATTTCTTCTTTGGTGTCAAGTGCATCTGCTTCATACAGACAGAGCATTACACGAGCACCTCTGAAGGAAATTGAAGCCTCAGACACCCAAAGAAGGGTCATACCCCATACATGGCAAGACCTTCTGACCTCACGGACAACTGCAGAGAACAACTCAAGGATCAAAAACTAAATATCTGCAGCATCTGCAGTGTACAAGCCGTGGCTACAGCACATCTTGCTGCCACACTGTCAAACTAGCATCCAAGACTTCCCAGGGAACCTGTCCCTCCAGGAAAGGGATACTTTCAAATGCCAGTGAAGATTTACAGACCTGAAGTGGAATTGAGCCTCTGGCTGAAGGAATCAAGCTGCAAGGAACTTGCTTCAAGTGAAGTCTGAAAACAAACTTGCAGCTTGCCCTATTACTTGCAGAACCACCGAACAAGCCTGTTGCTAGGTGAAAAAAGAACCACTTGCTCCCAGTAACAACAATGAGAATTCAGCCATTCTTCCCAGGGCAGAAGAAAAATGGTCTCGGCCAACACTGACTGTGACTCACTCACAAGCAAAGTGACTCTGCTAATGAAGTGGAGTCTGAGGGATGTCACCGATCTGTCCCTCACCAAGACACATGGGCTGGTGAGTAGAGAAACCGTGACTCCAAGTCCACAGTGACTCCACAGGAGTGCTGTGCATAAATCCCAGAGTCCTCTGAAACTCCAAACTCAAACACCATAAGCCCTAAATGACAAACACAAATTTCTTACGGGACTGAAAACGCTTGAGCGCTTTTAAAGATTGACTGCTCCTAGTAAAGGCAAGAGGGAAGGAAGAGTACCCGAGACAGGGTAGAGCTCTGGGGCTCACAGGGAGCACCCAAATACAGGGAGCACCCAAATACAGCCATTGGCAAGATGGAGCCCCGGGCTGGCTGGCTCAGCCCATCCCACATGGATGGCACTGCACATCCTGCACCACCTCATACTGCCAGCAAAACTCTGCAACTCTCATGTGCGTACCCAAGAGGCGGTAGGCTTCTCTCTTTTTGGCACAGGAACAACCTGAATTAGTTCAACAATGTTTTACTGAAGTCACACCCAAATCGAAGCGTCATGGTATTGCCAAGGCAGTGGAAGAAATAAGGTGCTTTCTAGTATACTCCTAGTGGCAGAAAAAGGGTTAATTTTCTATAAAGATTTGTCAGACTGATCAAGAGTGACTACAAGGTCAACCCCTCTGAGACAGGCACACAAAGCTTCGATGCCCCCCTTCTGACAGAGCAGCCCTACATACACTAGCAGAGGCGCCAGCATTCCCAGCGGAGGGCCTCTGGGAAGAACGTGTCTGTCCACAGCTCAAGCAGTGCCCAGGCTCTGCCACGCTGTATTGTTACACACGTCAATCAGCATCTTGAGGAGCTTCCACTTGTCCAGAAAAGAATTTTTAATTTCCTTCCCCATTCAGTCCCAGGTTAGCTATCAACATGGGCAGGGGCTATGCTGAGAAGACTTGCAAAGGGCAGATGCCAGACTGAAAGACGCTGACATTCTGTCTCATGAGCAGCCAGGGATCAGCACTCTCACGGGCAGCCCACCCCTCCCTTCATTTACACTTAAAGAATAACGATCCTGGATAAAAGACAGTGCATATATTTACCTGCTAAATCCTCTGCTATGTGATCTTCAACAGAAATGTCACTGCTCCCCTCATTTGTTCCCAGGTTTAAACATTCCAGACTTTTAATAAGGGTTTGCTCTTGATGGTTAATTTCTGATTTTACAGAGCCATTTTCACAGGGGCTCAATTCCATCTGCCTGAAGAGAGGGAAAGAATAATGGTTAGTGTATAAAACATTGTTTGGTAAACTTGTGAAAACACAAATAACAATAACAGAAAAATAGCTGACAGAAATTATAAGCTGTCACAGGCTGCTCTGAGCAAAAGAACTTGTCTAAATAATAAAAGGAATAAGGCAACTCTTTGAGGCAAGTATGATTAACGATTCAACCTCAGTTTGCAGAGTCTGAATATATTTACAATGACCTTTATTAAACAGAGACATAATCAAAAAAATACAATTGATTACAAAAAAAGAAAAGCACAGGCAGATATTGTAACTAGAAGAATATCCTCCCATTAGTACTTTAAAATATATATCTTTGCCACCTACTCCACAAATCATAGCCTGTTCTTCATCAATGATTTTTTAAGTTTATGGAGTGGAACCCAAGATGCAGGAAAGAGCACTGAAGTGGGTGAGAGATGGCTAGTGACTGACCAGTAAGTCACCAAGTGGAGGGGTGAGAAAAATAAAAGGGAAAGGGCTGATAAAGAAGAGACATGAAGTGGGGTGAGCCAGCTCCCCTTTGTTGCACCTGATTCCCAGTACGTAGCTCAGAGCAATACAATTCTGCCTGCATCCAGTACTACTAATATTAAAACTATGGAAAGAACAGACACTACCAAAAACAGATTAGAAAGAGATTGACAGTAAAGACTTCTATTATACCTTTCCGTTGCGGTATGACTGGACAAGACAGAGTGCTTTATCTGTAAGATAAATGGGAAGGGGGAATATTCTTTAAAGCAAGAAGACTGTATCATGCTTCTCAAACTTCACATTTTATTAAACCCAGGCTGGAGTGAGCAAAAAAGCTGAAAAGCTAAGCATACACTCACTAATTCTCTGACCTGGACGCAGTATACAGACAAACACAAAAAAGGTGCTATGTTATTTCACCATTAAAATATTGGGGGAAAACAAAAGAAAGAAAACCAGGAAGCTTTTCTCAGAAGTTAGCGAGTGCCAAGTGAGACACCATAGAGTATGTGGAAAAGAAGAAACGAGGCAGTTGAGTTCCCTTTGCAATAATGTTTTCTTTACTTTAGAAAATTTATGAAAAACCAGAAGAAACGTAAAGCCAGATACCATGAATGGTACGGTGAAGTACTCTCACTTCCCAGATGCAGTGACACATCCACCTTCCTACATACACCTTAATCTGCTGTTTGCTAGAGATGCTCCAGTTTTGTGTACATAGTTGTGGATCCAGGATTCAAGAAAGTGCCCTTGTCATTAAATGGATAAGCTCCTCAGCTCCTGTTGGCATATTACCACAGGTCCAATGCTGCAGTAGCTTACAAGAGTAGTAATTGGTGTGACCTCCAACAGTGGAACCAACCTGCCATACAGCCAGGGCATTTTGAAACACCACTGTCTGCAGCTGGGTCAGGCCCTAAAAGTTAATACTTATCAACTTTCACCTACCATTAAAAGTTAAGAAATGGGTCACTGCTTATTAAAAAAATAAGCCCTACCTCACTTGCAAACCAGAAGAATTAGCGGAGTATGTCCAGTGGAGGACTACTAGCTATGATATGGGTAAAAATGCATTCCCTACTTCTACAAATGCTACTTTAGAAAAGGGCACCTTCCCTCCCATGCCAAGACAGAGAGAAAAGGACACTGGCCATTACCTTGTTTGTTCTGAGAACTGCTAGATTTGGGGAGCCAGGTGGGGTCTGATGCAATAACTCAGAAGTGAAGGCAGTATTTGCAATCTGCATACATTCTTCAAGGGTCTTCAGGAAGGTGTCACAGGTCGATTTTAACAGAGCTCCCATATCAATCCCGCTCTGTGGGAAGAAACAAATTGGAAGACGCGGACTCGCCACAGAAGACCAACTTGGTGCAACTAATGTCTACAAAGCCCCCAGCTGCTACAGTTGTGATTTCTGTTTAACATGAATTAAAACGCTGCTCAGAGAACTGGCATCACGTATGACTGGGGCTATGCCCCCTCACTGCATTACCACTCGCCAGCCTCTCCCTACAACAAGCTCAGTACACTCGTATTTTAAACACAGTGCCCCTTAGTTATTTATCTCTGGTGTTAAAAGTGTATTAAATACTAAGCCTTGATGTATTCAACAATGGCATTCTGTAAAACACCACTGACAGCAGAAATGAAAAGTAAACATATAGACACAGAATGATCTGCAGATAATAATTTCTAAAATCCCATGAACAAAAAATTACTGCAATTGAAAAACAGGCAGAATGAAATATCACGTTGCTACAATACTCTTCATCTCTGCAAAGTGCAGTTATTGATGCTGAAATGCTTTTAGCAATAAATCTTTCGTGTTAAATAGTGGTAAGATCAGGGAAAGTGAGTTTTCACTCAGAACCATGAACTGTGAGTTGGATAAACATCACATTACTTGTTTGTTGTTAAAACCTGTGAGCTGCAGGCTCTAGCAGTGCCTTTTAGTCATTTATACACCACATAATTCTCTGCGCTGTCTGTTAATCCACCATAAACAGTTTATCAGGTATCTTTATGGAGATGGTTTGGACAAATGATTAACCATCAGGTGTTTTGCCTGCCTGTCCTGCACTTGAAGACCCATCTCTCCAGTGTGAGGCATCCTGGAACTCCACACCAGCTTCGCTAGCAAGTGCATCCCTCATTTCTCTCCAAGCAAGGGGCAGATCACTGCCATCAAAATTGTTTTCTTAAATCAGGCTTCCTTGGTCAGGAAGATTTGCAAGGTTTGAAACTTTAACTTAAGTGAGGCTAATGAGACAGCTTTTTGTAGCAATTTGGGCTTTTTGTGATCTGAATTGTCTCTTGACCTTTTAAGGGTTTTGGCTGAGAACAGAAGTGAGCAAGATATTAATGATTCAGGGGCAGAAAATATGTACTTCTTGCAAGTTTCTTTTTATAAAAAAATCTTCTTCTTTGATCATCTACAGAGATGTCATTATCTATACCACAGATATATCTCATCTCACTACTTGCTGCCCCAACACAGGAAAAGTTATTTGCAACAATACAATATTACTCCGTGGGAACAAGATCTGTTGTATGGGTACATTATTTCCCCACAGGTTCTCTGCAGAAAGAAGATGCCTTATCAAGTAACCACAAGTGAATACTACACTGGCTAACCAGAAGAGTTCACAAAGCTCAAGGCTTTACAGACATAGTCTACACCAAAAAACAGAGCTGTACCTCTGGTTCTGATGCACCAGAAATGCTGGCTTCCTTCGTTTTATGCACTTGTTGAACAAGGAGGTTACAGTACAGTCTAAGTTCAGACATTTTAGTCTTCAAGGCTTCTGTGTTTTCAGTGAACTCTAAAAGTGAAACAAAAGAAGAGTTGAACTTATTGTATCCATCCTGCAGTATACAATTTTGGAAAGCTGCTGAAATAGTATTATCCAATCTAATTCAATCAATACTTCCTTATTTCAAAATGTTTTCTATCAACTCAAAAAGATGAGCTGTACTGGCCATAAATTACGCTCATGACAGGTAAAATACTGTTTCATTATTTGCCATCATAGACAGGAACAGTATGTTCCTAGACTTAAAACACAGAGAAAAAGCAAGTACACAACACTTGACCTTAAAGGGCCTTTTAAATAGGACAAAACCCCTACCTATCACATTTTTTTTGTTTTCACAAAGTAATTTGAGGTGCAAACAATTAAACTGCGAATTAAAAGACTGGGGTTCTGTGTAGAAAACACTGGAAGGAAAAGATGCATCCTGTCCAACACAGAGGGACGAATTTCATACATATCCTTGAATCATAGAATGGTTGAGGTTGGAAGGAACCTCTGGAGATCAGCTAGTCCTGACAGGGTCAGCCACAGCATGTTGCTCAGGGCCATGTCTGGTCAGGTTTTGAACATTGCCAAGGATGATGCCAGAGCCTCTCTGTGCAACCCATTTCAGTGCTACCTCATCCTCACGATATAAACATTTTTGCTTATGTCTTAATGGAGTTGCTTGTATTTAAATTTATGTCCATTTCCTCCTGTTCATTCACTGAGAAGAGTCCAGCTCCATCTTTTTAATGCTGTCCCATCTGATATTTCCTTTAATCATCTTAGTGGCCCTTTGCTGGACTCACTCCAGTATGTCCATATGTTTCTCGTACTGGAGAATGCAGAACTGAGCAGACTAATCCAGATATGACTAACACTCAATCTGAGATTTGTCAGAAGCAATTTTTTGACATCAGAGTCCCAGAATTACAAAATAAATTAATTTGTCTGTTAATAAGACTAAGATAGTTTAGTTTTGCAGATAAATCAGTAGCTTTTCACCCTGTGCTACTGTATGTTAGTTTATAGATGTAACTGTGTTCTGCTTCTAAGCACTGTGCATCAGACCCCCGTGTTGTGTAGGACATGACAGTAGCATCTTCTGCTCAGCTCTGACCCAGACTGAACCAGCAGATGCAAAGCCTGGTGAAGATGTACATAAGGCTAAGAGGAGAAGTGATTTCCTCACCTCAGGGAAAGGAAGTGCCTTCCCTGCATTCGCTCAGGATCACTGATACGTTAACAGTAATGTGCTGTTTTCTTATCTTCTGCCTAGTCATTGTGCTGAGGTTATGCAAGGTAAAGGCATGAGGTCTCACACCGACTCATGAATAACACCACGCTAGTAAACAACAGGGGTTTTCACTGGGGTGAAAGTGAGATTGTTGGTGAAAGCAGAGGGGTAAGTGAATTAATTTTGATAGCCTGACCACTATCAGATTTCAGTTTCTGAATACTAGTATGCACATTTAAAAACAATTGCAAACCTTTATTTTAATTACTGAGAGAATCTTGAAGTGCACAAACCACCCAGTTAGAACACGAAAGGAAAGGGTCTGAGAAACTCCAAAGCTCAAGAGCCACTGGTATGAGAGGCTTGGTCACCATACTAAGATGGTTGCACAAGGTGGGGGTCTTACCTTCATGCAGTCAGCACTCCAGTGGCCTGTAGCCAGGAGCTACTTGGTTGTGTTTACAGAACCCATCAGCACATAGATTTCAAATTATTCATACATAGTATTTTTTAAAGAAAATCCAAAGTTTTCAAATCCCTGCACTGAGAGTAAACACCTGAGATTTCTAGCTGGAGTTCCCACATGGCTTGGATTTTAGTGGCACCAAAGACCTGAAGCACAGGTTTAACACAAAGTTCAGGTATGGAATTTATGTGTACACCTGCTAGGGTAAGGATGCGGAAATAAAAAGCAAACAGCATGCACCAGGAAAAGGGTTTTCTTGCCTTTTTCCTTCTGTGTCCTGCTGTCGGTCAGACAGGCTTTGGCAGTTCCTAGTGCAACCAGCCACTTTTGCCTTTCAACTGCGTTTCTTGCCTTCAGATAGAAGTACTGTTCCCCTGGGATGATCAGGTCCATTCGTGTGTTATCTGCAGGATGAACTGGAAGCAACACAGATTTCAGACCAGTCTCCCAGCCCTTCCCAGCCCAACCAAATATCCCAACAGATATGTGAGGTGTCAGGTCAAACAGTAAGGAAAGAGAAGGAATCTACAGCCCCAAACTTCCCCTGTTGCCAATTTATCACTTCTCTTCTGAGTTAGGGAATAGCCAGGACACACAAATGTACAGCTGTGGGACTAAAGGCTATGAAAGGCAGTTTTGTGATCAGTATCATCTGGGAGCCTTTGTGGAAAGGGCATCCTCTTCTGGCAAGTCTCTCTTTCAGGTTTCCTGCCCATAACCGAACCTCAAAGATGTGGCAAGTAATCCAATGTGAGTGGGCAGACATAATACTAAAGTTTATTATTCGTATTTCTAGCTTCAGCTTTGTGCCTATGAAGGGTCATTTGAAGCTATGTGATATTCCATGACAGTTCATGAAAAACAGCCTACATGAGCCACCAGCATGTAGGATACCCATGACATTTGTGGTTTGCAGCTCTCTTAACATTTTTAAAATACTATAGAATAAAAACTGGCATATAGATCAAGTTACTGAGTTACTACAAAAACATACCAAAGGAATCAAGACACCAAATAGCTCTTGTGACCTGAAATCTCATCTTAAACGCGACATTATTGGACAAACTTTGTGCAGCTGAATGTTACTGTAACTTAGTTACCTTGAATTTCACACACGGCCATTTGGATGCTTCCCTTACAACCCTTCCAGGCATCTTCCTGAGAGTCATAATAGGACAGGATGCCACCACAGAGAAGAAACCATCGAGGCTGCCAGCCTGAAAAACAAAACTGCATTTCTCAGATACTTCTCTCCCAGCAATTCCACCAGCTCTCTCATTCAGAACTCATTGCAAATAAGACCCCAAAGATTCTCAGTCCCCCCAGGAAAATTAAACCCTTTGAAGGTTAAATAAGATTTGTGGACAGGCCTGGATGTTGTACACCACAACCCCTGCTTGCTGGCAGCTACCTGTCCTTCCTGCGGGTAGCTGGACCACAGCGATATGTTCCTGCTATGCCGTATGCCATCTTCAGTAGCTTTACTAACACGGCATCACTGACTCGCTCTCTCTTCCAAAACCACCTTTTCAGTCCACCACCCCTCAATCCCTCCCATCACTCCTCAACCCACCTCTTCACTCTTTCCAAAAGCCACCCCAGATGTCTTGCCTTGCACATCTTCCTCCCTTGCAGGAAGGGCTAGGCAAATTGTCTTGAAAAGCAATGGGCAAGCAACTCCTAAAAATAAGGGGAGGACAGAAGCAGATGTGCTGATTTCTGAACACCATCCTTCAATGAAGCAGTTCTCAATAGCTCTTGAAACTCCTGTGTTGCCCCCATAAGCAGTAGCCTTGAATTAATGACTTGCATTTCTGAATACCTTCCCAGAGAATAACCAAAACACCAGGCTAGACCAAAATCAATAATTCTGGGTACATTTCTGCCAACCCTGCTGCCCGACTTCAGATGCAAAATTACCCCTTTTGTTTTCTTCTTTTGGAAGCAATACAGCAGTATGAAAAGATATAAATAAACAAGACACGACAGCCATCATTTAATGTCTAATTAAAAACTACAAGCTCATTAACTTAAGAAGAAATGAGGCAGCAACGTCACTGGAGGAAAGCAGCTTTCATTACTGAGCTGCAACAAGCTTCCCTGGCCAACGGAGCGAGATACCGAAGCTCCCACACTGTGCCAGCAAACCATCTCTGCAGAAAAAACATTTCGACGAGATCACGTGGCTCCTACGCATCTTTGCAGAGTGGCTTCACTTCTGCTGTCCCTTGCACCGGGGCTCTGCCAACCAGCACGGTGCCTCAGGAGACCAGGCTGAGCTTGGACCAGTACCACGTTGGAGGAGGACTGACTGCTCCTTACCAGCTAGGGATGGATTCCTTAGGCTGAAGCCAAGTCCAACTCATTTTAAGGTTAGAAAGTCCTAGAGCCACAGGTTAATAGGAGGAGTACAGTTTGGGGTTTAGTAATTTTTTTTCAACGAGCAATACCACGGCATCCAGGCCAACCTGGTCTATAGATTGCTGAACCTTGGGGGTGGCCAGAAAACAAATTGAGCATAAATCCTTTTTCACACTCTTCTAGAGCTCTTCCGTTATTTCCTAGAAAAATATAGAAACATTACACATGCCAAAGTAGTCTCAAAACTTCTTTATTTTATATGAGAGGAAAAAAGTCACAAGAACAAGAATTAAAAAAAGAAAAAAGAAAACAGAAAGACTGATTTTTATTTGTCTTGCCAACAAAATAAAGAAACTATCTTAAAAGTCACTATTGATATGGAGGAACTCACAAAAAAAGGAGGTGATTGTTCAGCAGAGAGCCACAGTTAATTGCTTCAGACACTCAATGGCACAGAACCAATCCTTTAAATAATGCACAGCGCCACAGTCAATACAAGCCTCTAATTCAGTCTGGAGATCCTGCTGCTGCACATGAATCATTTCAGCCATGGTCCTACAGCTCACAACTGCAGCTGATGCTCAACCAAATTGCATCCCATCAATCAAAGGCTGTATGTTGGCTAATTGATTGCACAAAGCACTCTGCCTTCATCACATTGGAGGCTGGTCAAAAATGTGTTATGAGTCAATATATTTTGCTGAGGTTTTTGTTTGGTTGGGTTTTTTGGTTCTGGGTCTTTTTTTTTTTTTTTTTGGAGGGGGAAGCAGCAATTATCTGTCTTCCTTTGCAGAACCAAACTCTTCCTTATCAGATATGTATGAAAAAGACTATGATAGGCAATTGTTAACTAGGACAGCATATATTTTCAAAACAGAATCGTTACACTAATAAAAACACATTTTTGTTAAACAAAACAAATTAAGAAACAAACAAACAATCACAGCAAGGTTCTGTCAGAAGATGCACTGACCACCTGGTACTCACTGACACTGAGTCAGCAGCCCCGGGAAGGTTAACCCCAACAACCAGCTAAAAATAGCGTGTGGCTGACAAATCATGGGCACTGCAACCGGGGTACAATCTTCAATTACAGGAGCTTCACATTTGCAGACAAGGAAAGAGCAGAGGAAAAAAAAAAAAAAACAAACCCAAAACAAAAACCAAACTAGCAAAAATAGACTTAGGCACTTCCATGAACACAAGTCTTGGGTTATTCAGTTTTATTCCCTCCCCGTAAACTGTCCTAGAAATACTGCAATTTTTGGAACTGAGCATTCAGACTTCACCTGATATAGAAATTTAAAGCTGAACCTTTTGAGGTCTTATGGTACCAGCCCTAACACAACTTTGAAGAATTTACTAAGCCTGTTTGTAGCAGCGGTGCACAGGCAGGACAAAATATAGCTCATACTTTCATTTTAGAGGCACAGTAAAAATCGACCTTGCTGGGGAAAGATATATATTTTTAAAAGACAATAAAATGCAAAGCATAACAGAAGTGAGCAGCAGCTTAAGGTCTCAGCCATAGAAGAAAGAGAATAGATTGCAGACAACTTCACAGACACTGGTTAAGGTCCTAATACATATTGCCCTCCTTTACTAAATTACAGTTAGTACCTGCAGTACTAACTGGACCTGATCTGATATCGTCCAATACAGAAACAGGTATTTAAGCAGTCTGTGCCTGCTAAGGATTCAGCATTTTTCCAGAAGTTTCCACAGCCTGAAAGATCTGCCTGCTTTCCCCGCTACGCTTCAGGAAGTCTGGATGCAGCTATCACTGAGCAAACTTGACATTTCTTGATAACGCAGTTGAAATTTGGACATAATTCAAACTTTAATGTTACACAACTCAGACTCCAGACAGCATTCATTCCAAAGTGCCAAGCCTGAAGGAAAAAAAACCCACATTTGAAGACATGTAGATCATGTCAGACATCCATAAAGCCAAACCATCTGGGAGAATTACACACTCAAGAAGTCAAACTGATGACCTGGAAAACAAGCTGCAATTAAGAGATGCCAGTTCCAGTTGCATTTCTAAAAGGCACAAAGGCCAGACACCCAGGTTTTTACTACTGCTTGCTTTTCACTAGAATTATGTAATGCTTTGTGCTTATTAACTTCTTGAACTTCAATGTAAGTCTTTCTAAAAACTTATGCAATAGGTAGTCCTTGGACTTCTTTGACCTTAATTTAGATTTTAAGTGTGGATAGGAGATAATTCTGAAATTTCCATATTATGGAATAATAGGAACAATTAAAGCCTTCCTCACATCCCTACTGCCAATAGCACGGGCAAGACCCAAGACTTGGCTGCAGTCCACAGCCCAGTAGCAAAGCAGGGGCAGATCCCTGCTTTTATGTGCAGGGTCACAAGAGAGTCCCAGAGCGGCTCGCTCTCACAGCAAGAACAAGCAATGTCCACCTTTTTATCCCACCCTGAGCAAAGCAAGATGTGCTGTGTGGTCATCGTACCACCACCTACCATTTTTTCTCCCAGTGCCTGAGGGCAGAAGAACCACAGCTTCTGCCCAGTGCTGTGCCCACTGATAGCTGGATGAGAGCTGCTCAAAGAGGACCAAGACAGTGCCGGTGCCTTGCAAAAAGCAAAAGAAAACCCAGTATATTTCCTTGCCCAGTTGCCAGTGCTGCTGTAAGCCTGTGAATGCCACCAGGTTCACATCTTTGCTAAAATCCAGCCTGCTCCTGGTTGTCCACCTAGTAGCTGTTGGCCAGAAGATAGCACCTTCCCCTTATGCAACTGTGACAGGAAAACACCCGCCTTCCAGTTATGAAGAAAGTCATATTTTCCAGTTAGAGAACACATCTAACAGCCCAAATGCAGGACCAAGTCAAGAGATCTTTTTTTCCAGCTTAGAAAGAAGAGTGCTGAGCTACCATGGACCATCCTGAAAAAAACCCAGAGCTGCCTGCATCTCCTCACCTACACAACACAAATGCTTCATACTGGCCCAAAAGGACCACAGCTGGTCTTAACACGCTCATGTCTGCTGGACAAGGCTTCCTCCAGGGAATTAAGGCTATGGAAATCTCCATGTCACAAATGGATGAAATGCTGGTTTTCAAGGTCCCACAGCACCTGCAGTCTCAACTGTTGGGCACCCAGCTCTCAGCAACAAGGTGCCTGACAAAGTTCAGTTCACGTGTCTCATGCTGTCAGCCACCACCAGGTCTCCAGTCAGGAAAAGTGTTTAGCAAAAGAATATCTTGCACAGGCCAAACTTGAGACTTTCCCCCCTTTTTTCCCCCTTGCAGCGAACAGAAGCGATACAGTTAAAGGGTTATCCTGACATAAGCGATCTGCACCCAAAATTGCTGTCTGCTTTTTCCATACAGCCTCCTAAGGCTTCCCCAGTATTTTGGGAAGGGCAGCCCCAGGGCACTGGAACACCTTTTGCAGCCTGAACTCTGTAGCGAAACAATTTGAGAGGGTAAAAATCCAATCTTGAGGGACATCAAGTGGGGGGCATGAGGGACACGAAAGTCACAGACGAGCGTGTGACAATCTGTGCCTCTCCTCTGAGCTATTATCCGTTCACCCAGACAGCAGCTTCTACAAATGCTCATACTGCAATTTTACTCTGATTATGTGCATATTAACAGCAGGAATCAATACCAAAAGGCCATAAAGGTAATGATGTTAACAGATTTAGCATTTCAACAGTGGCATCACTTTTTAAAGCACTCGTTTGAGGGACACTAGAGGTTCAAGCGAAGCAAGCAATAACTGGAACCGGCTTTAACACAGTGACCCTCTCCCAAGTGATTCTTCTCACAGAGGTCCCGTAAAATCCACCCTCATTTTAATCACAACTGTTAGTGCTGTGCT